CTCATATATCTCCATATGATAAAATTCTCCGGTTTCGATGATTTTCGATGGGAATGTTTTTTTGTAGATACGTGTTTAGAAAACCGAACTTCATGCTCTGCAATGCTTTTTTCACCAAATCCTCTTATTTGAAAAAATCTAATATGAATACCAATTTACGCTCTAGATGGTTTTTTGACAAATTTATGGCGAAAAATGTCAAATCTGAGAAATCGGTCGTATATATGTTTTAGTGGTTCGATCTGACCATTTCCGAGTTTCAAGATATAAGGGACTAGAGGGATCGACATACTAAATTAACTCAATTCGTCATTCTGACCTAATCCTATATGCAAGATATAGCAATTGTTAAAATTTTGATGGGTTACATACTTCGAGCCAATTTTATCATATGCAACAGTTGAGATGAGAATTTCCTTTATATTTGTTACGATTTTGCTAAAATACGGCTCGATGATTTCCCAAATCCTTTGCGTTCACTCGTTGGATTGTTAAAAAAAATTTCCCCAATAATTCTTTGTACAGTTTCTTAATTGTAAAGAACTTAATCAAAGTCTATTTATTATATATTTTTCATTCTAAAAGCCAGGGTTCGAGTCCTGGTGCAAAATTATAGATTTTTTTCCGAGTTTCGGTCGCGCTTGCGAGTGTATCGGTGACATGAAATAAAAGCTCCATTCAAATTGAGGGAAGCCCCTTCAAAGAGCTCGGCCGGAAATCGCTTCAGCTTCAGCAGGTAATAATGGTTTTTATTACTTTGCTTACTTGATGAGAATTAAATTAAGAAGCTCACAACGCCCATATATTGTTTTTTCGAATTTCGGAGAGAGTGTCTTATTCTGATGAACGGTCATTTACAAAGCATTTTGTAAAAATAGTCGGAGGCGTGTGGAAAACAGCTTTTCATTTGAAAATACAGACTATTCGTGTATGAATGCTAGCAATCCATATCCTGTTTTGCTTACCCAGTTTAGGTATTTACAATGTGTGAGCTTAGAGGTAAGAGCTCAAACTAACTAGCATGATAGATGAAGAATCATGCCTTCTCATTTCACGCTGCTAGCAGCAAGGAATCGCTTCATATGCCTTCGAAGTTTGGTAGTTGAAGCAATTGCCGTAATCGCGCGTAAGTTCACGAAATTTGCATTTCTTAATTAATCTCGTTTGTGTTGCGTCAACCTGGAATAAAAGTTGCTTTGCGAAAATTCAGCATGTCCCAGACATCCACGTTATCCTGATGTATTTGCTACGTGACATACACCAAACTTATCTGCATACATACATATGTTTAAATTATGAGCAAATACACATACATAGCTTTATAGACACCATAATTAAGAAGGTCTCAGCTGAACTTGGTGTCGCCTGTGAAATGGGAATGTCTCACATCAATGCCACGAAGTAAACAAACTGGTTTCTGTTATAAGCTTGCTGGCGGAATATGACTATGAATATGAGATATATTATATGTATGTATAAGAAGTTATGTTGGGTTATAATTTATATCTATTTTTCATACACTTACAGTGATGTTAGAATTATAGCTCGTTATTTGCATCACAAGCACCAAATTAAATAAAGATAGATTAAATAGATTCTAATTTATGTAATTTGTATATGTGGAAAGGACACATAGAGGACATAGTTTTTATATGACAATAAACCGATTGCTGACCAGTTTATACCTAAAAATACTACGAATAAGAGCATCACTAGCATTATAATAGTTGCAACACTGACCGAGGAGACAAACGAACGAGACAGCTTTTTAGCAACCGCCGAAGACAAAGTTGACTCGATACGAAACTCTCATAAATTCTTTCCTCAATCATTTATTCTGGGCTGATATAGAAGCCATATTACGGAACAAATATAGCTATAAATATGTAAAAATACCAATTTGTTCGCAAAAAAGCTCAACAAATTCCCAAGAGAAAATTTTTTCTTACGCACTAAAAACTTTGGGAATCGTTAATAAATGAATTCGTATGTATGTACATATACGCGAGCAGCTTCGCGTTGGCTACCGATCTATCAGACCGAAGAATAGCTTGTTTGAAATATTTTCCCAACTTTGATTAAATAGAAAATATTTGCATAATAAGAAATCGATTACAATACTTGAAGACTTAAACTCTGCAGATGCGATCAACAGTTCATATTTTATAATGGTTCACTGAAGAACACTTCAAAAATTTGTACTTGACTTTATACTTGACTTAAAGGTTTTTTCTCGTCACGCATTTCGTTGTCAAAAAATTAAAATTTCGACGTATGATCAACATGAAACTAGTTTGTGTTATGTAATTTTATAATTCTTGAAATTGCTGTCCAAAGATTTGAGTACAGTTAAAGAAGACTTCTGTTAAACTATTCAGAAATTACTAACTCCTGGAATTGAAATTCAAATTCTACGAAAGTTTTATACTACGTGTGAGTGTCATTTTGACATGCAATTAGAAATTAATTAATTGTTAAGTGTGATGGTACCTTAAGAACTATCCCTTCTCTTCTGTGAGCTTTGAATATAAGTGATTAACAAACAAATAAGCTAAGATTGTTGAGATTTGAACTTCTTTGCTAAGTCCAAGTGACATTTAGTTTTGACAATTAAATATTCCCACCGACATGAGACTATATTAATTGCTAAATTTGCTTTGAATAGAACATTTCGAAGAAAATCTATGTGCTGTTTATAATCCAAATCCAGCTTTCACGTATCTAAGCGGCTTAGGTCCGCATAACTGATGCACAACATACGAGTATATCTTACATATTTCCTTATTCAATATTTGCGAAACAATTACTGTTTATCGCTGTTGCCAAAGTTGAATGTCTGTTTTCCGCTTTTCCACTTTCGGTCTGCCAGAAATGTGTGAAAAGTGAGTTCCAGTGAGATAACTTTCCGCAAGATGTCTAATGTCTCTACAAAACAGATATTCAGTGTCATATTATAAATATTTATGGCTGACAATAATAACAAGCAATGAAAACCTTTTTTTTTTTTGCTATATTTCAAACGATTCGAAATGCAGAAGTTGATTGATGATACCGAATTTCGTATTCCAATTTAAAAACTGGTTAATATAGTGTACTTATTTCTATAGAGGCAGGGTTAGGCTGGAGGCAAACTCGGCTGTTAGCACCAGTGGGCCTCAGCATTACAGCCCATGTGAAGTTTTCAAAACCAGCTCTATTTATTTTTTAATACTTTTAAAACGAAAACATTGGTTGCAACTCAGCTCTCGTTATTTAATTTGTTTAATTTATCATGAAAACGTTTCGTAAACTTTTGGATTTGGAAAAGTTTCAGTAGACACTGTGCGAAAATATTGTAAGTAAATCTGCGTTGACTGGTTCGCAACTTTATTTTTACCTCACTTTATCTGGAGACTAGACACGGAAGCACTTACTCGCCATTTTCCAAAATCATAATTTTTCAATCTGTTAAATCGTACTTTTTGGGGTACTTTTGAATCCAAATAAATATGCATACATGAACTATGTCCCTGTCGAAATCAAACTCGACTGCAAATGAAACAGTTCCACAACGGGCTTAACGTGTTTAAATATATCCTTTCGCTTGAGAGTGTAAACGTTTACGTCAGCTTTGCCAATGGATCCAGACTATTTCTAAATACCTCCAAACATTGCTCACTAAGAGTCATTGACTTTTTCCATAAAAGGAACAGCTAAGTCGACCCAAGGTTGCTCTGTGTATGACACAGCCAATCCTTTCGATGGATTTGTTCAAAAATCATACAATAAATCGGATTGCTGTGTACCTGCGCTCCAAAATCCTACGAGGCATAGAATTGATATTTCATTTGGATCACTGCCAAATTTATTCAAAAATAGCCAACTTTCATTTCATTATTATTTCACATTATTTTTCCTTTTCGCTTCACCTACATTAGAACTTGCCGATAAATGAAATTGCCCACACATATTTCATCTAAAAATTAAAAACATAATTGAATATGTGAAAACGCCGTGGGGCCTTTTTGATTAATGGGCCAAATGTCGGCAATGGCAAAGAATGGGAGCGTGTATGCATATTTATGTAAGTATATCTGCATGCATGTGTAAATACGTGGATAAATATTTTTACAAATGTATACAAATCACCCAAAGAATTTTCCTCTTATGCAATCCCATTGGCTCGAATGCTCCCTCCCTGCGCTTCAAACAAATGCTGACGCAGTAGTGCAGTTGTGGTAAACCATTTTAGGCATGATTGCGGTTTGACAAACCAAAAGTTCCATCTGATTATTGCGAAGAGCCATAAGCCATTGCTAAACAACAAACCGAGTAGCAGAGCCGCATTTGTTTGAGTTTGTTAGGAATTCCCAAATCATATCCTTCAACAGCACTGGAGGGGAAGGGCGAAAAATGCTGGCGAAATGTGGCTTATGTGCCTAGTATGGCGAGTTGTGTTTACCAGGGCTAATCACTTTAATATCATATTACTTTAAATTAACAATCAAGTAGATAATCGAGATAAGAGTGGGATATAAAAATTGGAACTCCGTTAAATGATGCAGTTAGTTCATGGAAACTTCTAACGCTCCAAGGCAAACCAAAGAAAATCAAAGATATGGTCATTATTGCATTCGAGGTGGTCTCGAGACAATAGTAGTAGTATCCGTTTCAGAGCAAAAACAAAATTATAGGAAATGTTTCTTGTAAAGCTGCTATTCTCAGACAACAACGGAGAAGTTCGGCTTGGGTTGCTATAAGGGACCAGTTAAAATTTTTTTTAAGTAAACATGCATATAGATGATGAACCTAACGGGGTCTTCAGAACAAGTCAAAGCGGGTGGGAACAATTTTGCTTTGTTACTCATTCTGCGGTTTGTATCACAGAACTTACCTACTGCGGGTCGTACTCATGAACTTAAAACGAATATGACAAACACTCAGTATTAAACCCAGATTCACTGTGAAATTTCTTCCTTTAATTATATTTTTGTTAATTTTTTATCTTTTTATATTCACAGGTAAACGGTGGTAGCTTGGCAGAAAAGGCTGGCCTTATCCCAGGAGATGCTGTTCTGAAAATCAATGATGTTGATGTTTTCAATTTGCGCCACAAAGACGCTCAAGACGTTGTTGTGCGCTCTGGTAACAATTTCGTTTTGACCATCCAAAGGTAGGACAACTAATTAATTCACTTGTATTTACGAAGTGTGCAACGCTTGAACAAAACGAACTGTATCTTATTTCAGGGGAGGTTCGACTTGGCGCCCACACATAACTCCAACCGGCAACGTCCCTCAGCCTCAGCAGAACTCCCCATATTTGCAAACAGTGACGAAAACTTCTCTAGCTCACAAACAGCAGGAATCACAGCACATTGGCTGTGGTTACAACAACGCTGCCCGTCCGTTCGTGAGTACCAAATTCTTAATACTGTATACGCATATCCATATGAATATATAATAAATATGTAAATATACGTGTACGTATGTATATCTATTTGGCCCGACAAAAATAAACGAAAAGCCAAATGTACAAGACTGCGAATGCTAGTATAAATGAAGGGCATAATCCTTTGTTCATCCATCGGTTGAATGTAACGGCATAAAATATCCGAAGAATCGGTTAACGTATATTTGTCTGCCCATCCGTCCGTGTGCCCGATAATTCAAATATGAATTGAGATATAGATGAGGGCAGCAGTGTCCACTACTCTGGGCTGTCATGGGTTTTAGTTTAATCCAAACTTGAATATTAAAATAGTAGAGAAATCATTTCAAATAAGTGCATATGTGGATCCCTAATTCCACAAAATCCATATTTCATTATTTGTGTTCGTTACCACCGAAGGCGAATGTCTATTTATTAGTAACATGGAAGTAAGGTGGTAGTTAAGCAACAATATTTTATATTTTTATACGAGTATATAACATACATACATACATAATTGGCGCTTTGTAACCGCTTAAGCGATTTTCGGTCGAGCTCCTCTTCCAATTTGGGGTTTTGCGTCTTGATGTTTTTCTAACCAATAAAGGGATCTACAGTTTATACTTAGCCGCCTCCTAACGGGTAATGTTTTTATATGAGGAGCCTTTATATCATGTCAGAAATACAGTCGGAGGCGTTGGCATTCAACGCCGAGGGGCGACCGCAATTGGACGACACCAGGATTTGAACCCGAGCCTTTCGGATGGCAGTACGCAAAGCTAAGCACTCGGCTACCGCGGCCGCCAGCAGCAGTATTTATAGCGTTTATTTCTCAGCCAAAGTACACTAGCATTTTTAAAAATATTGGTCTATATTTGTGATAGAGATCAATGCTTTCAATTTCCAAAAGTGAGAAAATGCTGAGGAAACAAATGACTTTTCTTTGATTATCTTAAATTTTTATATAATATATTTTTAAGACTTTCCAAACACATTTACATAAACTTGTAATTTTGCTAGAAGTCTCTTCAGTATACTTTTGTAGTCATTGTTTCAACTTAAGATTTCCCCTGTGTGCGAGTTCAAATTGAATTAGTTTTTTTTCTACTCCCTCTCAAGGCTTTTTCGGCTAGGGAAATGTGGTGTGGACAAAGTTAGAACGCTTTTTATCAGGCATTAAAATACTTCGTAACTCTATACCGAAATACTAGATTCGGCGAATATCCTCGTAACCATTCAACCACCTCGAAAAAAACGAAATTATCACTGTATTTTACATTATCACTTTCGCCACGAACTGTGCCATTAAAGTCTCAATTGCTTTTCTTCTCCCTATTCACATTCAGGTCAATGGCGGCGATGGCAGCGTCAAGAGTATTGTCAATAAACAATACAACACCCCGGTTGGCATTTACAGCGAAGAATCCATTGCGGAAACTCTTTCAGCTCAAGCTGAGGTCCTGGCAGGCGGTGTCCTTGGGTAAGAATCTAAAAAAAAAAGAAACTAGAATAACTCTAGCAGAAGTATGGGAAAACCGAACAAAATTAAATGGCACAGAGAGAAGAGCGTTTCAAAGAAGGAAGTAAAACTTGAGTGAAATTATATGTCCTTTCATTATTATTGCTATATATATATGTATGCAGATATGGGCATAAAATGCAGCGACGCAAGTTGGCAGCTAAGGCGCCTAATCTGATTCTTTAAATTATTTTGGTGAATTCTAACGGTTTGACGTTTTTTTTGAAGCCAATAACCCCAATCATTTTTGTATATGAGTATGCAAGAACGTATTGTACCGAAGTGAGCCCAAAGCTGCAACTACCCATCTTACATACCGTACAGCCATAACACCCGACTGTAATAGAATATACAAACACTGGCATTTTGTGCGGGACAACTGTCATAAATAGCAGAACTTTGTATTCACTTGGCGCTCTCATAAGATAGGTTGGTGTGGATGGAAGGTATGTATGTAAGATGGGTGTTGCAGCGTAAAGCGTTTGTGCGGATGGTAAAGTCACTTGAGTTGAATTATACCTACAAATGTCATAAAACACGGTGGGGAGGAAGAATGTTTTTTCTGTTTTGTCTTAAAATGCTCTCGAATTTTATAGCGTACACCAGCGGATTTTCATTCTTTGCTCGCGTCCTTGCATACGCAAATCCGTTTGCTAAACAGGCGAGAATTGTTTCCCTTCCATTTGGTGAGATGCGCAGAGTATATATACATACATATACTAGGACGTTATCTAAAAATTGAAGAAAATAATATTTTTGATATAGAAATACTTGGAAAACTGATGTGATTTTCAAAGAAAAATTACTGATGGGTTGTGTTAACGCTGAAAAATACAATATCATATTTGTAGTTGCAATCAGTGGAAATTTAGAAGCATCGTGAATAAATTTTCACCAATGTGACGCCAACTCAACAAAAATTTAAGACTCAAATCTGTAACAATTCTTTTGATGAAAGAGCTAAACTACAATAAATGTGGCAGACATGTTAATTTGATTTAATTTTCTTTTTGTAGTTGAAACTCTATTACATATATATAATTTAATATTGTAAAATATTTTTCTGGTACCTCGTTATAATAACTTTATTTAAATCAAATTTGCATATACTCGTATAACCTAAAATTAACTGATTTAGTATAGTCTAAAAGGATAAGCTCCGCGAAGCGCAATTCAATCTTCCGGTGATCTGAGAAACTCATTTAACTGAATTTTCGGCAAAAAAGTAAATTATTCGAGTTTGCTAGTTCTGGCAGCTCAAGTGTCAAGTGTAAATTTTAGCAGTGCCCTTACTGCCAGTCGATTCTTATTAGCCCCCAGCTTCAATACATCCACGTACGATAATACAATTCAATTTCAATTTATAATTCCAGTGTCAATTTCAAGAAAAACGAAAAGGAATACCAACCAGACAAGTCCGAGGTGTTGAAGTTCCTGCGCGAAGAAGAAACTGGCCAATCGTCGACTCCAGGTAATGACTCGTTAGCTCATTATTATGCCTTGGCGCATACACTTTATATTTTAAATCAGGGCGACAATATTTTTTTAACGGATAGTTTGCTAGATTGATTTAGAAACTTTAATACTGTTTAGTTTTAAATAATTATGCAAACTGGCAGGTACATACATATATACATAAGCATATGTAAGAGTAAATACACATTTTTGCAAACTCGAAAATTATGTAAACAAAAGAATTTTTGGCTTATTTATTATCAAAGTATATATAGACTTTTTAAAAACCTTTCGATTCGACCTTGAATTTTTGGCGAAATTTTTTCTCGGGATCTTGGCACGCAAATTAGTAATGAATAATATATATATATATATTGTATATATGTATGAATATATATGAATATATATGTTACAGTGAGTAAAACAATGCAATGCTTTTTTTTGTGGACCCACTTTTAATTTTAATGTTAAGAGCTCTTCGCCACAAGTTTACATTTTCCATTTACAGGCCTATTCTGTCGAGGTAACAAAATTTACCTAGGTATTAAAATTTACCATTCAGTAAATTTTGTTACCATTTCGTATTCTGAGCTCACTGTCACTCCATAAATTTTGTTACCAGCGAAAGAGGAGGTAACAAAAATATCTGCTGTTTTATTTTGTGTTGTAAATTTGAGAAAAAATAAAAAACCAAAATGGGTAGGCATATTTTAGGCCTGGATCTAATTGAAGATGAAGAAAAAAGTGCAAAAAGCCGTATTTTAAGAAGTTTTCGAGACAAAAAATAGTCCTTTAATTTGTAAAATATCGTTTTCGAAAAAAGCAGTGATGCCAAATTTTTTTTAAACATTGTAACCAGTTCGCCAGAATACCAAAGTCAATAAAGTAACAAAATTTACTTTACCGGTAACAGTGAGAGTAGGCCTGATAGTATCATATAAAAGTAGTCATATCTGGGACCAGTAAAAGTTAACCTAATTTCAGTGTCTAGAGGAAATTGAATGCTCTACAAAATGCTCTCAAGGTAAATTTTTTTAAGTCTGTAATTCGTTGGAAAATACTGACTGAACTAAAATTTAGTTATTTGTATACGAAATTAAGCCTACCATTCCATTACATCGATTTATAAAATACTCGCTTTACGTCAGCTTGTAGTGATCTTCAGCGGGAAACGGAAAGAAATGTATTTATTTTTGACGCGTATTTTATAAATATAGCAACAATTTTTCACTAACAACTTTCATATTTGAGTTGTTTCTAACTACCCTCATTTACTATTTTTTTTTATTGGATTTTGAAAAAATCGTATTTTGTTGTTGATTTCGATATCGCTTGGTTAAGAAAATGACATGAAAGCAGATGCATAAATTTGATGTGATACAACTCGGGGATCTTAATTTTCTTAAGTTGGTGACTGAAGTCCAGAGCGTGAAACTCAATTGTTTTGGTAATATATAATTTCCAAGGCAAAGAGAAATCTTGGAACTGTAATCACGTCGAGCTTGTTCAATTGCCGACTTCCACAAGCTCGGAGGGAGGGGTATAAGAGATCAATTAACAGTGTTTAATAGAAATTATATTAAAATAATGCATACACTTTTGATATTTTATAACACAATTTTTAATAGGACAGTAACTTCCACGGCATAATTTACAAGCATTCTGAAAGTATTTTTTCCCAGACAGAGCCCGGGAAATACCCAATAACAGCAAAATTTGAAGCACGACTTGTGCTGACCGGTGTAATTTATTAAATATTTTTCGAACGCAGCAAAGTGAAACACTAATCCAATTTCTGCGTGAATTAAATGAGGTGAAAAGCAGTAATAATGCTTGAGGTGATGAGGCTGACACTCCGCTGGACATTGACGTGTATGTCCATAATGGATCCACAAAAAGACATTGCATTTGTGTACATCTATGTATGTACATATTACATATGTATGTGTGCCGAATATTGGCGAAAAGAAAAATATTTTAATTTATCAATTTAAGCATTATTTTTTATTATGGGAGAGCGAGCCCCCATTAAAGATCCAAAATAAGCCAAAAATGAGGGTGAAATTTCATGTCACCAATATCTTCAGCTCTGACAAATTCCATTCTTGCATGTAGAACTATATAATAATTACTAAACTTTGTTGTTAATTATCAGGTTAATGCATTTTTATTAAAATATTTCCATGTTTAATTTTATTGTAATTTTTGTTTCGTGTTTTATGTATTTTACACACTTCACACCAACGATTCATGTTTTCGTGCATTGCGATGAACATCTTTTCGAACTCTACTCAACACAAAACTAAAAAAAAAACACAGTCTTTCAACAAGATCATCATCATCAGCAGCAACAACAACAACATCACCACCACTACCACAAACAACCACCACCACAACAACAACAGCACTATCAGCCACCATCTGCCACTAGGCACGTAAGCGCTCCGGTAAATTCGCCAAAACCTCCAAGCACTGGTGGATTGCCGACTGGCCAGAACATTTGTAATGAATGTGAACGCCTCATTACGTAAGTCTGAAATCAAAATACTATCTCCATACAATTCATTTACTCTGTGCTCTATGAATGAATTTGTTTTGTTTGTTTATGTATGTATGTGTGTAATGGAAATATTTCATAATGAAAGAGGTTTTCCCATACAAAAAATATACATATTTTAAAAGGTAAGAAAAAGTGATGAACGTGTACTATGCACTAAGTTGTCTTTCTAATAGCGCTCCATAATTTTTGAGTTTATGCGGCGATTGTAAATGTAAAACTAAATTCAGCTCTTAATATTAATTTTAAGCCCTGCGGAATTTGATTGCTAAAAAAGTGGTATAGAGAGTGTGCAGCGCGTGGTAAAGAGCAGATATGAGAACTCGCAAACAGATGAGATAATCGGATATCTGATCTGGACAATCAGAAGATAAATTCCATAGCAAACAATAAGCACTTGGGAATTATATTCTTGCATATATGGAGGCATGCATGAAGATCGGAGATGCTCAACTGGCGAAACGATGCCATTTCGTAATGGTAACGTGAAATTCATCGCTACGACGCAGCATTGATGTAAATATATTCATATACATATATATGTCAGAAATGCCGAAAGCTTAAATGGTAGAATTATGCCTAAAATTATGCATATGTTAGCAGAGATATTCCGATTTGGGGTTACAAACACAGTGAAGGTAGAAGTTATTTCGAAGTATAAAAATTGCCCTACATTATACCGATCTAGAATCGAAAAGAAATGTTTGTCCGTTTCCCATTTTTAGTCAAAGTTTGTTAAAACAGGAATATACATACCTACCTACATACTCGTGTATATTTTCATATGTTTTTATAATGAGAAATGGGTCTAAAAATGCTGTCTTCGAATATTTGAGGATGTCAACATTGATTGAGTTCGAACCAATTTTTGAAGTCCTTTCGCTTCTATTCGTATAATTAATACTTGAAATACCCAAAACCGTGATGCATATCAATGCAAATCTTTCTGGAGGACGACTTTTTCCGGCAATTTTATTGACCTCTCTTTGTTGTATGTTTTATTGGTGTAATTATTTGCACGGAAAAGTAAGAAGACTGTAATTAAATTTTTTTGAACTATTGATTATGCATGTATAAGTGTTTGTATGCCTATTTAAACTATATTTTTATGAGAATGCAATACTTTTGTTATATTTCTAATACTCATCGCTCCCTCTTCAAACATTTCCAACACAACTTCTCCTCTTAGTTAATAAATACACAAAATCAGCTGGAAGACAGAACTCTAGATTTATTCATAGTTTTTTTTTTAAGATTATGTTTATTGTAATGTACAATAGTATATTTTGTGGAAAGCGATCAGATAAAGTTCAGCTCTTAAGCTCGTTTGCATATGAGTATTTTCATTTAAAAAAATCGAATGAATTAATTCCAAACAGAGCCGCCAGCTCCAGCAAACTTCTATTGGACGCAAAGTCACGCCATTGGCGGCAATACACCGCTATCTCACCAACACCAACAGCAACAGCAGCCTCAGGAGAGGCAACCACAGGAAGCAGCGAAATTGCAAAGAGAAAATGCAGCGCTTCCAGCCAAACAGCCACAATCGACCAAAACGGATCCTGCAGCGGCACCTCCACCGTCTGAAGCAGCCGATCCACGTGTCATCATTATGCCAGTGTGTCCGGCATTGCAAGGACCGGAATATAAGGCGGAAATGGAAGCGGCAGCCGCTGCATTGCAGCGTGATGACGGCCCGCGTCCATTGTCCGCCAGCGGTCATCCGGCGTGCGCATTGTGTGGCGTTGGCATTGTGTAAGCGTTTCGAGTTATTTTGGAATGAGTGTGCATGTGTGTATGCATGAGTGTGTTTGTCTGACCCAAAATATCGATCAGCAATTGTGGACTGAAAATTATATAATATTAGTTTACTCATGGTTGTAACATCGACCTATAATATAATAAAATAATATTATACATAATATAATTATAATAAAAATAGCAATCAAGCAATAAAAAATAACTGTCATTTTCTTGCCTTAAATATCCTTACGTATAACTCGTCATCCCAATTGGAATAAAATATTCCAATATTTATTAAGCCTCGCCTACTCCTTTAAAACTTCCCGAGTTATGTCACTATCGAAATTAGTGTGAGAAATTATGGAATTTTTACGGAGCAGAATGAACGAGTTCCAAGGGACATTTAAAAATTGCCATAAAATAAACTCTACGTAAAGTATTAGGTAAAATGCTTTTAGGACGAGGTTTTAGGTTGCAAGATAACTTTCGGATTTTGTTTTTTGCAAATTTTTGAGCGTGTTTAAAAGACATATACTTGAAACTCATTGCAGTCATCAGCACTTTTGTTGCACGTTTAAATGGAAGTCAGTGAGTGAAGTTTACCCACTGAACTTTTACTCCGTCATCGCCAGTTTTCGAAGTGAAATTAGTTTTTTTTAGAATATGACGAAAAAAATCGCTTACAGAATCTGCAGAATTGTCACCTAAGTCCGATTCTTTAGGCGCGATACGCTCAATATCGTCTAGATTTAGTTTTCTTTTCTACATATTAAATGTTGATTGGGATTGTATATCCTCCTAATAAAACTTATTCCAATTATTGGTCTAATTTTAATAAAACTATGTCTACATACCTACTTTACTGGCGTAGACACCGCTTACGTGATTGTAGCCGAGTTAAGAACATTGCGCAATTCGTTTCTTCATTTCGCTGTTTGGCGCCAATTGGAGATACCAAGCACAACCTCCCTCTCCTTCGTCTTGCTCTAATTCACTATCAGACCCATATCCTTTTCCTCCCCATACAGTCTGGAGGAAGCAGAAATCACGGTGCGGTTGTTGAGGCCAATAATGTCAATATCATCGGCGTATGCTGCACGATTAGGAATCACCCTGTCTGAAACCTCGTTTGGACCTTCCCAATTCTGACTGCGCTTCTGGTATTGTCTAGCTGCAGTTGAGACAGCCGTTTAAGTTTTGCGTTGATACCAAAGCCCCTTCTCGTGCTGTCGAAGGCTGCTTTAAAATCGACGAAGAGATGGTGTATGCCAATTTTTTTTCACGAGTATTTTCCAAAATTTGGCGCATGGTGAATATCTGGTCAACGGTTGACTTGCCAGGTCTAAAGCCACACTAATAAGGTCCAATCAGTTTGTTGACGGTTGGCTTCAGTCTCTTACACAATACGCTCGACAGGACCTACTAGGCGATATTAAGAATCGGTTCAGAATTTCGAGTTGAGTTTATTTAGCAATGTCCATCTGTCCGTCTGTTTATGCGCAAACTTAACCCTCCGATTTTCAGATCTTTCCACCAAACTTGGTACACAGATCAGCTGGAGCAACTACCGGAACTGGCCAGATCGGACTACAGGCGCTTTGAAACCGCTGAAACGATTTTCCGCCGAGCTCCTCCTCGGTCATCCTCCCATTTGTGGTTTTACATTTTGATGTTTTTTCCAACAAATGGAGGGACCTACAGTTTATAATAAGCTGCCTCCGTCAAGTCAGAAATACACTCAGAGATGTTGACATTCCCTGCCGAGGGGCGACTGCAATTAGAAAATTTAGTTTATTTTTTTATCTAAATTAATTTTCTATAACTTTTGGATTTTGCACGGGGATTTGAACCCGAGCCTTTCGAATGACTATACGCAATGCTAACCACTCGGCTACCGCAGCCGCCGACAAAAAGCGTGCCATGACGAAATGGAAAAACTGTATCATATATTTTATATATAACCGATTTGTTCAGTTGTGAGGTTTTGGGTCAAAAAAAAGCATCCACAAGTGACGCCAAATATTATTGAAATCGGAGTTTGGTCCTTCTTCATTGAGCGATAATTTTAGTTTTCAATTATCGACTCAATGCAAAAAAGCACCTTTTGGCAATAGTGATAGTTCGCTAGATAAGGCCTCACAATCTTTTCGGTTCTTGAATCGAGGAACGATATTGCTTTGGATTTTATTGTAATGACGACACATTGGGACGCTGGAGCCGAAACGCTGGAGCGCTGTTCGTTTTATTGACGACAGAAAATATCAGCATCAAAAAGGACATCTTGGACCCTGGAAAACTTATACAAATACCATCAGAATGACTTTGAGTTCATTTGCTGTATGTCCGTAGGCATTGCGATGAGTAGGTTTTTTTTATTTTATTAACGTTTTTTAGATCCGAAAACATTTTCGAAACATCAGTTTTAGCGTGAACACAATTCAATTTCCTAATTCATCTATGCAATTTAACTGACTGTTTGAAGTAAATTATCAAGTCCGTTAAAGCATCTCTTGCTTAGTGAAGTTTTCAGAGCATGCTTGATAGAAGTGTATTTGGATTGGATTGTTATAACCGACTAAACTAGTTTCAGTTCAAAAATTTGCTTCGATCATTCATACAAATGAAGAATTCTACAACTAGAAGTGCCTTTTTAAAGTGTCTAAGCTAAGATAGGAGGGAGAGGATGTTGAGGAGTAGGGAAGGAATGTTAAGTAATACCTTGGTAGTTATTCGTAGAGCCGTTTGGCTCTTAATGGTGTTCGGGTGTGAACTCCAGAGGAATAAATTAGCGGTGGTGCGTGGTGACCATTCCTCTTTACACAGTATGTATTTATTGTGTAGAGCTCAGGGGTGGGCTCTGGGTGAGAAATTTGATATGGTACGGGGGTGACCATTCCATTTGTTGAGATGAAAATTTATTGGGGTATTTGGCTCTTCAAAATTTGTGTAGCGAGGGGTTTTCCAGTGGTTTTGTTATTCAAGCTTTCATCACTTAGGAACTGGCGTTTTTCAGCAGTTCCTGGTGTTTTTAAGCGTCTAAGGAAGCGTCTAAGCACCATGAGTTTAGCATCTAATAGACACTTTAAGTATATTGCTTCGCTGTTTATCTGAGAATTGCACTCATGCATATAAGCATGCAAGCGTATGCATATATGTACACACGGGCATGCATAAACGCATAAGTACCCCAAATGACATTAAGCAAAACTAATACCTAAAGGTATGCTGAGGAAATCGGGCGTGGGATGATCCATGCTTAAACAGAAAGTCTAACCGCTACTTATTAGAAACCTTATTTGTACATCTTTCATGTTTAGATTAGAAAAGATCTGAATTTCAAATAAAATTTATGAATTTGGTATGGAATACCCGATTATGAACTTCAGCTTTCTGAACTGAAACGTTGATCCAAAACAGTTTTGAATTTTAAAAATAAAAATTATTTATATCCATATTACTATTCATTGGAGCACGCATTGAAAAAAATTTAAATTGTATTTGAGTGTACGAGTATGTATGATGGCCCGTCTTTTGCAATGTTTTGTTATGCAACGAATTTTATTATAATGAATTAATGTTGGTGAAATTATATAATATAAAGCGGTTTTATCTGTAACAAGTATTATAATTGGATAATTTGTTCATCATTATTAGTGGTGTATTCGTACGTATCAAGGATAAGAATTTGCACGTGGAATGCTTCAAGTGTGCCACTTGTGGGACCTCGTTGAAAAACCAAGGCTACTACAACTATAACAACAAGCTCTATTGCGATATCCATGCTAAACTTGCAGCTCTACAAAGCCCACCAGCTGGCACTGATGGATATGTACCCGTACCAATTAAGCCGTAAGTAGTTTACTCATATTCGACCATCTAAGATAAAACAATTAATTTCAAATTGTCGCTAGGTGTTTTCATTTTAAAATAAAATCCATATATTTTCATTTTATTTTTAACAGGGACTGTAAATAACTATTACCTGCTTCCTTTAATAAACAAAATATTATCTACATAGGAAAGGTGACCACTGGCATGGTTAAAAACACATATTTTTCGAGCTTTTCTTAAATACTCACACAATAAACTTTATTATGAGAGAAAAAAAATATTGCGCAGAAAATAATCATTACCTGTTGAGCGTTACCATTACCTTCACAAATTTCCTTAAAAAAGGATAATCGTATTTTGAGCGAAAAAATAACGATAAAAAAATAATGATTATTTTTAGAAAGAGAAGACTTTCCTATAGCGTTTGATTGTTTAACTGAGTTCATCCAATCATGTCCTTCTGCCTGTTTTCACGCCTCCCAGTGTTGGAGTTAGTTTAACGAAATTTGGTATGTATTTTTCAAGGTATTAAAGTTATGTCCGAACCAACAAAATTCGATGTATATATCTGATATACATCATATATTACTTTGTGGCTACCAGATGCCTGATAATCAAGATAAAAGCTAGTTTTTTTTTAAATGTACTACCTGTACATACATATATATATACATATTTACGGGTAGAACGTGGTAGATTTCACACGGAAATTTACGAAAACTTCTAACTATTCAATAGGAGAGAAATGTACTTAAGCTTAATTTAAGAACACAGATATGAACATACCATAATGTAGTATGCAGCCATAAAACGTTACTCTCACGTTCATTTCCAGCAATACCAAGTTGAGTGCGACCACTATTTCCTCAGCTTTGAACGCTCATGGATTCGCTGACATCCCTGTGGCCAATGGCGGAAGCGTTCCACCAACTTCTGCTCCGGTAAGTGTACACGACTACATTTCAAATACAAGTTAATTTACTTAAAAATACAAGTTGCTCCTAATTTGTTGTATTTGCAAGCGCCAACAAACATATGTATACGAATACATACAAATACACACCAAAACACGGGCAAGAAACAGCGAAACGCTTATTTTGCCATTTTTATATTATATATAAACTTGAGCTTACCTTCATTTTCATAAAGCTTTTTGGTTCTGCCAATCGTTTTCCTAAACCGCTACATAAATATTTGCTTATCTTATTTATATTGTACATTTCAATTATTTACAATAATTCCCTAATTATATTCTCATGGGTATATACTCTAAATATAAATCCTTGAACAATATTGTTATATAAAAAGTAAGCAAAAGCTGATACAAAAAATGCATAAGTAATTGTTCAAAACCTTTACTAATTATCGGCTTATAACGATTCGCTTGCGCTTTAGTTTTGGTGTATATTTGAATGTGTGCGCAGTGCAGTAAAGGGAGTACGCCGCAGCTACGATGCAGTATTCTAGTGAAGTACTAGTATTTTAGGGATTTTTGTATAGAAGTAATGGTAATAATAATAATTTGCACTACCAAGCCATTTTTACGTTGTTATATCGCTCACAAACCGAGTGAGTCTCATTTTCTGATGCGTTTTGCTGAAGTTCATATCAGTGTTAGCACCTCACGAGACCACAAATGCAATTTAAAAAGAATAACCTTGATTTTAAAAATAAACATTTGTTTATATCCCTCAGCTTCTTATCAATGTTTTCTATGATAAATTGTTTTAATGTTTCTCTTCGAAGGTCAAAATAAGAAAATAGTGTTGTAAAGCTCTGTTAGTCTGTCTACTACAGCTTCAGCTTAAAATCAGCGAATATGACATACTCGTATGTTCATATGTATGTTTATATGTTTGACATTTTATTGTCGCTAATGTGGAATTTATTTGGAGTGCCCTAAGATCATATTGCATTTTAGGGATAAGTGAAAAGTAGTTAAAAATTAAACAAACATGTAATTATTTATTATAAAATGAAAATAATAATACAATAATATTATTTTACAGAGAAGGAAGCACAATTGTGCCCATGATTTTGAAAGTGGTATAAGTCAAAAATTTTAAAAATCTACTTTATCAGCTTTTACTTGTCAAATCTTAATAAAATAATATAATCTGAAGAAAGTAGCAGCATGCCATTCAAATTAAGTCATTAAAATGCGTTTATTTTTTTAGTTGTTAACTGAAATACAGATATTGTTGGTTTTGATAGTNATTTACTTCCATTATACACAACCATTAGACCAATAACAAAAGAAAACCGTAAAGATAAGATGGATCTACTACCCTATATTCCACCAATTTTTCAAAAACACTTTATTTCTCTAAATACTAATGAATAATTTACGTTGTCACAATGAAATGAGTTTGAATAAAACGTTAATTACTAATAAAATTGTTTCATTTTTGGTATAAGTCATTTTTAAAGTCATGAAGTTAATTTTGAAAGTGGTCCAAGTCATTTAAACCTTTCGAAACCACATTTTCTTTTAAAAATGGCAATAAATTTCACAATCATAATGAGTACTTGTTTGTTGGGACTACTTTAATGTCGAAAAATCATAATCCATAATGCAAGAATATTTTTTAATCCTTTCAAATACAAAACTCTAAATATCTCGAAACAAAAAAAAATATGACTTATACCACTTTCAAAATCATGGGCACAATTTTGCTTGTGCTTTTGAAAGTGCAAAAAGATCACAAATTTTCTTTCGATTGTAAAGTTACTTGAACTTGCGACAGGTGTAGGCTACCGAAAAGCGATTCATACAATTGTTCATCGGATCGCACAAATTGAAGGATAATTAAATGGAAATATAAAAATTTGAAAACTGTTTCCTTGACGTACTGCGTATACGTATTTACATATACATAATTATTTGTTTGGCCATGCATTTGTTGTAACAAATGTTTGCTATATAATATTTTTTTAGTTGTGCACATCGTTTTATGCATGTATTATACTGAGCATGAATTGTTTGTTAAATAAACATACTTTAAAATTAAATAAATAAAAATTGTTCGACAGTGTATTTGATATTAATCACATAATCAGCCATCAAGTGCACATTCCGTCAGATGCAGCGGTAAAAAACAAAGGCGACGGATATAATGCAGTTAGATCATATTTTTGTTCTGCTCATTTATGTACATCACAAAAACAAATTCCTTCGAACTCGTAAATATTTAGAACTATGGCTCACGAACTCTTTCTCATCGATTTCATCATCGATTGGAAAAAAAAATTACAAATGAAATGTTTTTCGTTATTAAACTAACAAAAACCCTTTCAATATCTTTTCAAAAGCTTAAAATAGATGTTCAAAATAATGGATTTACTATTTTCAGCCCAGGGGTATATAGTGGTTGGTTCCACGTGACGTATATTTTTGTGTCTTTATTATAAAAAGCAGAGATCTCAGTTTTTTGCTCTAAATTTTTTCTTATTTATTCTTTGTAAAGCCTGGACATGAGTACTTCCAGCATAAAATTAGAGCGTGTTCGCAAGTCCGACAGTGCTACCATCTAGTAATGTTGCCATATAGGGCTGTTTAGCGACAAATTAACTTGTTGGGCTGAGATACTATTTCATTCGTTGGCTGTGGTTAGCCAGTGGCTGTTTCTAAATTTCTGTTTATTATTAGTGGCATTAGTGGCCTCAATTATTCCAGTGTCATGATGGTGTCTGACAACATTACCTCTTCGTCCTAAAATTTTGACGCTTGAATGATTGCTAAGGGGATGCCTGCGTCAGTAGAGAAAAATAAAGAAATAGAAGTTTGTCACAGGTGCACATCTGTCGAAGGTTTCATTCTAACATTTGTATGTACCCACGAGTATAGTATATTTACATATCTACTCGCAAACACGTAAGCACTAAGAATCATTAATTGAGTGTAAAACATTTTATGGCTCACTGACTTCATTTCGATTGGCACCTGCTTATATCACAGCGCTAAAATTAAATAAATTCGTTTCTAAAAATAATGGAATCGAATAAACTTAATGAAGGGACACACAACAAATTCTTCGCACCCTTCCTGCACATCGCCCCAAATGCAGTAGATTTTGGCAACGAGTATGAAAAAAGTGTGCTCGTAAGTGCATTTGTGTGATTCCGTATTTAACAAAAACTCGGTACATGGGTGTCTCTTGCAAGATTAATATTAGGGGCAAACTCAAATGACAAATAATAATTTTGACACTTTGATATGTATACTAACTCAGAATAGTATACTCGTATGATATAATTTGGATTTTATAAACGCTGAAGTGATGATTTCCAGCAATTAAAGGGAGCTAAAGACCATGCTAAGCCGAATCACTGATGCATTTCCTTGAGGAGCTTGTATTTCATATCAGAAACACATTAAGAGTGGTGAACATTCCTAGCCCCGGGTCGAACCCATAACACTCCGCACGGTAGTAGGCACTGCTAAACAACCATTCGGCTAATGTGGCTGCAATACATTTACCAGAATAAAAATAAAGTTTTTCACCTAAGAAGAGGATGAAGTGATTTAAACAGCTTTGTAATGTGTCAGCGAAGCAAATGTATAAGTAAACATCAACGTTGCATTTGCACGAAGTGACTCGCATTTGAATTTGCTCATTGGCATTTACGAGCATTGACGAGTAAATCGTGTGCCACCGGTTGCAACGATTTATATTTAATTGGCAAGGAATTAGTTTGCTTTTATCCAACACGTTCGAACGGTGGTTCGTGCCTCTACCGGCCGCTGCAGCGAATACGACCGATAATTTCAATAATTTATTTGTTGAACTGATTTCCAGTTCAAAAAGATATCGATTGAATAACTTCATTAACGACTTTTAAAAATTCAATATTTTCCTCGGAAAACAAATAATTGATTTGTGAAATATTAACCGAGTGCAGTGTGCGAAAATCATATATTATATTATAAAAATAAATTCATTATTGTGTAAATGACTCTTACATAACACGAAGAACTTCAGAAATGAAATCGATCGGCATAACACAAATTGCGTGTGTGCAACTTTTGGAGCACTCCTTTGCCGCCGAAAGCGAAAAGTACACTGGTTTTATTTTTCACGAACTGACCTTGACCCAAAAATTCAAATTATTTTAAATTTCCTCTTAGTGAGCAAAATTTACAACCATGAACAGAGTTTTCAGCGCGAATAAAAAGATAAAAAACAAAGAGATGTAGACCGAAGTATAAAAATACTCGTACTTACATATATACCGATTTTGGTTCCAACAGGCGGACAGACAGACATTGCTAAAGCGACTTATCTCGTAGCTCAGATCCGATCAGTACACAATTTTTTGGGGTTTCCGCTGCTCCTACTCACATACTTGGGACCAAGTTATAAAAATAATAATAATAATTCTTTTATGAGTAAAGTTCTTATAAAGCAGTGATCTTAACACCATACCAACGTTATAAGTTTCTTCAAACACCAAAATAAATACCACGATCACTTCTTGCTTTGTTATTACCTAAAAACTTTAGAATTTGATTCCAATTGTTCTGGCCAGCTTTTAGTCCCCACTAAGTTTTTGATACTGAAATTATTTTACAATCGTTTTTTTTTTTTTTTTTTGCATTATTAAAACAGCTGAGAATAGAAATTAAGTTTAAAATTTCATCCGAAATGTTCGTTAATTAAAAGAAATTTGGTTTGGAAGAGCATCGAAAATCGGATTCTCTTCACTCTCAGTAATTGAAAAAATTCATACAATTTGATGTAGGTGTCTAAGTCCTTTGGTGGTCGAAGATACTTCAGCTTAACTTCGGCAAGTATAATCAGCCGGGCACTCACATATTGCGTTATATTACCCCTTCTTACATTCCATGCATGTCATGCACTGTAAACCCATGACAGCTTCCTGCTCTGAAAGGACTACTCTTTGCCATATGCCCCAATCAATCTATATAAAGATATAGAGAAGTTTTCTCTTTCGAACGTGGACCATGAACCTGGAAATTAGGTTTTGTGTCTAGTAAACCCCGGCTGATAATGGATAATTCAAATCACTAGCAAACTAATTGAAGTTGTCTGAAGCGTTAGATAAATATGTATACATGTACCTATCTTCATTGTTTCATGCTTTTATCTCGTTTGTTGGGAAAATCTCGTAAGCCCTGTGCATATAGTTTATAATCAACTGAAAAATCATTTACTTGGGGTGATTATGTGTCAACTTGCATTATTTTGGAGCCTTAATTAAAACACTAACTAAATAAAGGAATTTATGTTCTTATTTTTTATAATTTGCTTCTCGTTCCTTGTTGGCTATTTTGCGCTAACTAATCAACTAACAATGCTATGCCGCCGCTTTGGGTAAACAACACAAAATATTCAGAATGCAGACGCCAACGAGTGCATTGATGCTGCGAAAGATGACATTACCGACTTACCTCTTCCGCCACCGCCGTCACCCACGTTACTGCAACAACTGGCCATTGAAAGCCAATTCCGCGGCAGTCCTAATGACAATGATATCAGCGTACAGCGAGAACTTCAACACAGTAGCACAGGTGGTTCGTCTGTTTCACCGGTAGCCCATACAACACAAACAGAGAGCTTAGGAGACGGAGCAGTGGATGAAAAGTCTAGTGGTTACGCTTCTACTTCTCCAATACATTCACGTCAAACCTCATCCTCTTCTACCTCAACCTGTGGCTTCAGCAGAGATAAACAAGCGGTCCCACTAACGGCAACAATACCTCCTCCACCACCGCCGTTACCTATATCCCTCCCAGCTCAGCTAAACGAACCATCCGTCTGTCAGCAAAATGAAAACGATATGAACTCACAAAATCAGTATGGCAAAGGTGGCGGTGGCAATGAAGGTAACAGTGGCGCGCCTTGTGCCGGTGGTGTGCTTTCGCCGGCAGGTGGAGTTTACAGCAAATTTTTGAAAGAGTACTCCAACAAGTTGCTCACACAAAACAAGGACCACAACGCATATACAAATAAGTTAACCGCTGACATTTCCCAAAACAAAATCATCGACACAAACTACAGTCAAATCGAACCATCTACACATACACCATTAATCCCTCAATCACTGTCAGCCCGAATCTCAAGTCCGACTACTGGCGACAAGACAAAAACAATAAGTCCACAACCCACAGTTGTTGCCGCTTTATCAGCGACACTAGCTAACCAATTGAATCTTAACTCATGCCAGCAGGTTTCAAACTCCGAGGTGTCTCTGAATCCTTCGGCTCCTCCAGCACTATCATCATCTTCAATCAGCACGCAAGAAACAACCGCTATTAGTGAAACAATCAGCAGCAAAAGTACGAGTGATAATCGGTTCGAAAGTGAACCGTTTGTAGAAGCTGTTGAAGGTATACGCGGTACGGACGAAGGGGTCACTTCAGCAATGTCAGTGACAAACGATCAGCCTTTTGGTGAATACGTAACCTTAACAGGTAGTGTCATCCGCAGCGTTGTGCCGCCTGGTAAGGGAGCAAACATCAACTATAAGGTAAGTAAGGCGGCCCTTCTGCTTAGCAGTGCCCAAAGCCTTTGTGGCTCTGATTTTCAAGTTTCTTTCTTTGTTGTTTTAAATAACGAGATGAGTGTTAAAGATTGTTTACATATGTATATTAACAATGCGTACAAACATATTGAGAGCACCAAATAACAAACCATTGCGCAACTTTTCTTCTACTTGTAGGTAAATCAAGGCTATGCTAGGCCTTTTGGAGCAGCTTCTGGTCCTCCAGCCGCGGCACCTAAGTCGCCGGTGGCCTATCCGCCTCAGAGGCCAGCTGTCAATGCATACGCCACATTGCCCCGCTCTAATATCGGACAACAAGGTAAGGATGTTAAATATCATCAATATTACGACGAAAATGATGATTACTGTTCAAGTGATATGGAATGGATCTAATTAGACTAGAACCACCATTCTTCGAACACACATATGTATAATATATCGAAAACTCTTCTCTAACTGGATTCATAGATTTTTTAAATAATACCATACTAATGTCTGAGTCGGCGTCAAATACGTTCATGTAAATTAAAAAGGGTGATCTCATTTTTACGCGACAGTTTCAGAAATGTGAATACAACCAATCTACATAAATGAGTTTCTAGTTAAAGTAAATACTTAAAGAATAATTTGAAGTACACGTGTAAGCTTCAGTAAAAAAGAAAAGCAACTTTTTATGTACTTATATATTTATAATATGAAAGTTTTAATTCAAAGGTGTATTTTTTTATTATGCACAATTAAAGTTAAATATTTCCGAAATTCATAGTGGTCGAATGTTTGAACGCATTTTTATTTCGAATCAAGAATTGCATCTTAATCAAACGCTTTGCATTCAAAAACATTTCAATTGGATGACAAAATTTACTAATTTTTTAAAAGAGATGCGGCAAACACTCACGAATTAACAAAAACATATTCGCAAAAATTCCATTTCGAAATCTTCCAAATTCAACTAACATTTATATCGAGGCAGAGTTTTCACTTGCGGTCATTATTATGTCTTCATTTCTGATTAGTGTAAAATTCAAAAAATTAGAACTTGAAATTCTGCCGAGCGCTGTGGGCGTTACGATTTCAAACCAAGTTGTCATATTTACTACTAATTTGAAGAGTGTTCAATTAATGTAAAGTTTTTTCCTTTGTTAATCCTTTTGACACCACCACTACCGCCATCGCACCTACAACGCCATACAAACATACATACATACATACATGTATAATATGTATACGCAAATGGTTTTGCAAATAGGTCGACGCTCAAACACATACCACAATTACAGCAACAATTATTCAACACAATTCAAAAATCCAATAGCAACCAACCACGGGCACAATAAATACGCGACCATGCCCATCTATAACTCTTCTCATTACAACAATACCAACTACAATAGAGGTAAAGAATTGATTATTGTTAGACAACAATGGAAAGCTCGAAAGCAACACGCTTCGGCGCTTTGAGCTTTCATATCCCCTGCAGTAGAATGCCCACACATTGCTATTCGCGATACTCCATCATAAGAACATACAATCATAATTCATACATACATACTCGCATATACTTAACCATACGCGTTGAATGCGAAAGCGTACTATGTACATACTTACACAGACCATACAGAGCCATATTGAATATATGTATGTACGTATTTTATGCACCATATGTAAATTCTTCTAAGCATCCCAATAAATACAAGGATTAGTCTCGATTTCAAGACGAGCTAGCTCTCTATTAACGCTGTATCGGTAGAATACATCACAGCAATAGGTCGGCGGAACCGAATTCGTAGGAGAACAACTCTTGTTGGATTAGGTTTTCAAACCGTTTTAGACTCTAGACTTATTATTTTTCGAATTACACCTCGAATCTTACGAGCTAACCAAAATTTTACAAATCACTTGAAATAGAGTAATTTACTTTGTTCCATTGCTGCATCAAATAAAAATCATTTTTTTAATCGAAAAAAAAAAAAAAATCAAACAAAATCAGACCGAATTTACCTTAAATTCGCATCGAATTAATTTTGTCCAGCTCAACGAGATTCGATACGCTTTGTGTTTATTGGGATCAGAAACATTCATGAATATTTGTTAAATAAATACACCCTAAAAAGAAGAATATTCCAATATTTCCATTTGATTTGATACACCGAATCTCCTCCAACTTTTAGTTTGGTTTGTTGTAATTTTTATCAATAGAGGAATAAAGAGTTTTATTTCGTATCCGCGTTTTTTTAGATATTGGAGTAGCATGGCCTCAAACTCTTTCATCCAAAGAGTGCTCAAAAATCCGAATTTATTTTATGAAATTTCAGAGGATGCCACTGTGTTAGAAAAATAACTTCTTGATATTTTTAGTGTATTTTGACTACAAATTTTTTATTGCAAAAACAACCGAATTTTTAATTATATTAAATCTTAATATTATAAAGATAATATTTCATAAATATTTCCTGCAGAAGCAAATAACTTTTGAAATATAAATAGTGGGTTTTTACCATTTGCCCATCAACTTTTAAATATTCCCCGATCGGACGCTCAGCTGTACTATGAGCGAGATTGACTAAGTTTCGTATCTAGTGATCTTCGGTTCATTAGCCTCAGATTATAAGTTAGCACTGCTACCTATTCAACTCTAGCGGCAACCAGGATTGAACTGAAATTTTTTGATATACTTGAATGTGAGTGATTGAGAACCTTCTGGATAAATATGTATGTATGTATGACATATTAGTTAAATGGGAAGATTACTTTCACCTGAAGTCAGGTAACGCCTAAGGGAAAATTTTGTATACATATTTTGTTTACTATTTACTTCCAATCAAATACTTTGTTAGTTATGTCAACGATCCGCCAAAAAAGCATTCTGTGACTTGACTAATTTTAGAGAAAATTTAACCTAAGTTTTTATTTAAATTAATTTTCCATAACTTTTTGGATATTAGGACGACACTAGGTTTTGAACCCGAGCCTTCCGAAGGTCAGTACGCAATGTTAGCTACCGCGGTCGCCAAGACAGCATTTACTCTTTTTAAACCAAATGTATGAAAATGTTAATATTTATCAGAGCTTTGTGGTACCTAATATTCATTAAAATTGTTTCTCGATCTCACAAAATCTGAATGAAAGGGCAATGTTGATATAAATGAACAGACTTCGTTAAGATTTCATCCTTCCCATTCAATTTCCTGAACGGTTGTCAGCCTTTCCGCGTCTCCCATTATGGGTATATTCTCTTAAATGGAGAAATCCACAATTCTAAGCCGGCTTCTTCGTCCACAGCGGACGCATATCCAGTCTAGCCTTTGTGGGAAGTGTTAAGTCTTGCTCGTTTAGTACATTGTACAATCGCTAGAACACACAACTAGTATTCCATAATAGAACAACTACGCAAAAAATTTCTACAATAAACTGGCTGGAATATACATATATAAATTATATATAAGATTTACTCTGTTGCATTACTTTCTTCACTTCAAATATGTATGAATGATTATATTGTTTTGAACAAATACAGGTTGAATCGGAAGTTAATACATAATTACATTTGTATATGAAAATGTATTGTATAATGCATGCAATGTGATATTAATTAAAAATTATATTCTACATACATAAAATAAAAAGGAGCTGTTAAATAAACCCAAATAAAAAAATACCAGAAATTTCATTTGCTAATATCTGAAATAAGTCTTACTATCAACAATATCCTTTACCTACCTTTTTCCCTAATTTCAACTTATTGTGTTTTAAATTCTCTGTTTTAGGTTACGCATATTATTAATCGCAATCAAAACTCAATCCCCTCCCTTTTGTAACAACAATAATTTACAAATTTGTTGAGAGGACAACAGCCCGCTATCCTGCAATACCAGTGTCACGTGGTGAATTTCTATCTAAAAACCTTTACGCATATATTACTATATATGTATATGTAAATTTAATTTCTTATTACTGTTTGAAGAAAGCAGGTATACTGCAATACTTTACATTACAAAATCTACTGAATTACAATACATTGTTTTTAATATGTTTATCTCCCAAAGCAATTTTTTCAATGTACATACACACTCGTACATACCGTGCAGGTGGAGAATTGTGTTGAAACGAATAAATAGAGGAGTTTTGATTTTTCCTCCAATATTTCAAAAAATTGTTTTGTTTTCCTCTAGAATACTAATTTATCGATCAGACGATTGTAACGCCAATATTAAACAAAACTAAAACTATTTTTGGTAAATTAAGGAAACAAATTTACTAACCAGCGTTTTATACATTTCCCTATTTAAATGCATGTGAACTGTACATACATATATTGTATATTTATAATGACAGTGGAAATGCAAAGCTCCCTTTGTTATATTGCATGCTTTTGATTGTAAAGAAAAAAAAAACCATAATAAGTCAAGGTTCCACCGGTTCAGCTAAGCATATAATGCTCACTAAACACATACATACATACATATACATTCATATACCAATAAATTCCAATTTATTGTACTTTGATAGTCATAGGGCATATTCACGGTCAAGGAATGCCGACTAAGTGGTTACTGAGAAAATATAAATAAGTATTCAAGTTATAGTACAATAGCTCTAGAATACTGGTCACTGTAGACCCTTGATTTCAGAATAGCAATTTATACTACATTTCCATCTCAGCATTTTTTTTTTATTTTTTTTTCGTACTATTTGAGAGTCACTTTTCCGTTTGTGTGATAGTTCATAGGTCCTTACAAGCAATCCGTTCAGCTAAATATTGAAAGAATTGCAGAAAAACAACTTTGCATAAACGTCAAATGGCCAAATGAAAGTAATAGACTGTCAAATGCCAATATAAGATTTCTTAAGTAGACTTTTCTAGTGCATGTTGCAAACAGACTACGACACCATCACAGAGAGAGCATTTTATCTTTTTAGTGTCACTCGTGCTAAACTTCGGCAATAATTTGTTTTGCTATCTTCAAAATCATTTCTTACCAAAATGACAAAACTTTCGATTGCACTTCTAAAAAATTATTACTTTCTCCATAACCATTAGCCGATGAAGCAATTTTCGGCCGAGCTCTTGATGTTTCTCCAAAAAGTGTGGATACCTACGGCTTACCCTAAGCCGCCTCCGAATAAATGATGGTGTTTTTCTTTTGAGAAACCTTTATTTCATGTCAAAAATACACTCGGAGGCGCGACCGTAATTATAAAAATTAATTTAATTTATGTCTTAAATTATGTTTTTAATTCATTTAATTTGTTTTAAATTAATTTTCAATATTTTTTGAATGTTGGTTGGGCCCGGCTTCGAACTCTGGTCTTCCAAATGACAGTAGGCCATTTTGCTAATATCATCCTAGTTAAGAGAAGCGGAAGATTACAAGGTCTGACACCGACCTGGTAACGAGATATGAGAAGTTACTTAAAAGAACAATTTCGTGAATTCATTAAAGTACGATTTTTCCTTAAACTTTTAATTTTAGCACTGCAACACTATTTTTATAAATTTTTCACTTTGCATATTCAATTATTAGACTTTTCTTGCACACTGAAAATCGCATACTACTGGCTTGTCTGAGTTCAGTTTGTTGTGCTGTGCAATTTGTCATTTTCGTCGTTTTTGTTTTCGCGTTAATTTAAATGATATTTAACACAGAAGTTGCTTGTAAGTAACTCTGGGCTCCAGAGGGTTGAATATGAATTCCCCCACCTGCATTGTTTCGACTTATTAATGATCTGCCGAAAAATTAAAATTATAAAAATGGCAAAATATCTTTAAAAAAAAACATTAGTAAATAATTGTTTACAGTCTATGCAGCCTGCAGAACCTTGAAGAAAAGAGAGCAATCAGCAAAGTCGCTGGTTTCTACGGTACAAAAGTCAGTAACGGCATCGTGAAGCGGTGGTAACTTTTCTCTTATTGGTGGCCTGATAAGATAGGTTGTATAAGCCGAATTGTTATGCTTTTGGTTGATTTGGCTATTACATTAAAAAATTTGTTGAAACTATGGTACGTGAAAGTGTTAATATTTGAAATGAAAACACGATGGTTATACATACATACGAACACACACATATATACTTGTAAGCAACTGAGTCTTGCTAATAGAGGGGCTCACATAGAGAAACTTTTCCTTTTCACTGAAAAATGGAAGTTGATTGGAATATTCTTTTTATTTTATCATCACCTTAATGCCGGAAAGCCATACATAAAATACTCACGCATACATGTAATTAAGCGGAACATTTTTTTTTTTAATTTTTAAGGCTTTTCGACAAATCTGGGTTTCAAACGAAAATCAGTAGTGCCGTTCTATATTAAGATAAACGCTAAGTACATATGAAAACGAAGCCTGCCATTACGAGTACCTTAACACTAATTTTTTCGCCTTTTCAAAGCAAATTGTACTCTTAGCCGCGCCTTTTACGCTTCCAAGCAATTCTAACATATAAATGTATTTTATTTCTTTTTTGATTTCATACATCTAATTTTGCGTTCACACTCACACGCTGCCATATTATTAATCAACCGCTAAATGCTACATTCGCGGTATTCACCTTCACTCATTCCTCATTCCTCATCCTTCGAATTTTAATGCGCCAATCAACGTTATACGAAGCGCATTGTTGATCGTTGATTCAAAATCTGTTGTTGTACGCCTGTCACGTGCATGCACACAAACAATTTCGGAAAACGCGATTTCATTAAAAATGAACAAAAATGTCAAAACTGCTTATCTAAAACCCCACATGGCAATCAAATACCCATTCCTTACATAATCCCGGCATATAGATCAAGATGCCAGCTTGCAACCGCAATATGCGGAGGAGTGTAGTACTTCGGCGCCAGTCGGATCTGAGTACTTTGAGGAGGACCACGAACTGGCCGAAACGAACCGCCAAAACAGAAATAACTTCTCTTGGCCGCCTCCAAGGGAAGATAGCCCCATTGTACCGACAGCGGCACCACTCTATATCCCTCCACCTGAAACACAACATGTGGTAGCAAAACCATTGAACACCCAGCTTCGAACGGAGGAGGAATTGACCAGTGTACAAAGTGCATCAGGTAATAATGGAAGGCAGGAAATTATAACTTCGTATCTGCAGCCTAACCGGCAGAGTAAGTCTGCACCACAGTTGACAATTGGCTTACAACCGCCGGAAATTGAGTCGAGCTCGGAAAGTTTCACTTCAACTTCAACAACAACTACGACCACTTCAGAAGAATATCAACGGATGTATGCGGCACAGGTGCAAGCTTATCAAATGCAACAAGCATATGAGCAACAATCCGGCTCAGAGTTTGACTACCATGTGGATATGGAAGTAGCTACTATGCAACAAAATTTGCAAGATTCGTCTTGTATTAGCTCATCTGAGTATATATCTGGGCGTCGTAGTGCTCAGGAATGTGTAGAGTCTTTAGTTGCTCCATTGAATACAAACAAACTCATCGATATGGTAAGAGAAGTAACACCGAGCCCGGTTCCCCCATCCAGTGGCCAGGGTCCTAGACATGTTGTGTTTGCAGATGAACAAGAGACTAAAGAAATTGCATTGGATAGAGCCGAAAATGATTACCAATCTGCAATTTTAGATGATATCAACACACCCACTTGCAATGAACTCTTGATATCTGGGTCTCTAGAAAACAATATATCAGAAGCGAAAAATTCGCAAAATAATTGCACAGAGTGTGAAGCAATCAGAGAGGATACTGATACTTTTGTCAAATACGTTGCCAGTGAAATAAATGAGAGTCAACGGCTATTTCAGCCAACTCCGGAAATAAAAATAGAAATACCTCCAGTTCGGCAGATACCACCAACAAAAATACCAAATCCTGTGCCAAAAGAGTGGATCAACCCAATGGTAAGGGTCTTGACCACAGCTCCAGATATACCTTTTCATTTAGTAGAGTGTCCATGCCCAAAACCTTGTAACAGTGAGTCCTTCGAAGCTGTGGAGCAAGATACAGTAAGGGAAGAACCCGTAAAGCCACAAAAAGCGCAAAATGTCGAATGTGTAGAAGAAATTGCTCCCATTGAAGAACCTCTACTTAAAGGGTCTCGCCTTGCGAACGCTATGACAACTGCACCCGAGTGGGAGTTGCGTTTTGAGCCACCTCCTTCAGAAATGATTCCTTTGCCCGAGGAAACTGAACCCTATATGCCTCCCCCCATAGATATGAAACCATATCTGCGTGAAGACTATCGGCCCAAATCACCATTCTTAAGTGCCCTTACCACAGCCCCCGAACGTCCGTTTGAAGGTCATTTTGAAAGAGATGTTCCTATACATTTGCTGGATCTTCCCACGCCAAAGGAACACCTGACTTTGTCAGATGCTTTGCGTACCGCTTCTGAACGAGCATACACACCACTTAATGCAGAAAATGCGACACATTTATTTGAGGAGCAAGAGATAGCTAAAGAGAAAAAGAAACGCGAATTTCAAGTTCTTGATAGGGAGGAAGAACTAGGGATTACTCCACTTGGCAGTGAGTCCATTCAATATTATACAACGGAAAAGCGTAGTAGTTCGCAGCAACGAAAGTCGTCCGCGTTTGCGGCAATGCAAGCATTCCAACCAACCCAAGAGCCATTATCATCCAATACTCCACGCCAGTCCATTACGTCCTACTCCAAAGAAGAATTCGATCCCGACTACGAAAGGTATTATAAAGCGAAAGAACGCAATAAAAAGCGTATTGATTATTATCACAAAAAAGAGGAAGAACTACAACAACAAGTTGAAACAATTAGAAATCAAGAAGCTTCTGAGACTAACACATGTCAGATATCCTCATTAAATTCCTGTACCAAACAAAGTTCTTCCTCTGAATCCTCTTCCGCAGTCCAAGCAATGTCAAACACCAATTCTACCAGCACATACGCCACCAATTTAACTCAAGCTTCAGGGCCATCGTACCAAAGTAATGCTCGATCCATCATCTCAGACACAAAAATTGATTTGCATGAAGTGATTGAAGAAACCACTGAAGAGCTTGAACATTCTGAAGTGCTATTTCCACCACCATCACCGCTAAGCCACCTCCATGGTAAACCCGCTTCATCCGGATTACACAAAGCTGATACAATACCAAAATATCAACGCAATTGGACAACATTACCAACACAAAGCCCTGTCCGTACTCCAGAACCACAAGAGCTTCGTGAAAATATACCACTTGCTTTTGTAGATGCTCCCGTGGTTAGCACAGCAAGTAACCCAGTGCACAAACCAGTAGCTCAAATTAGTACAACAACAGCGGTATCTCGCCAGTACTATCAGCAAAAAGATAAGAGTGCGTATGAGAGCCGTGGTTCGATCACAAGTACATCGAGTACAGCTGCATCGACGCTGCAACAGCAGTCGAAAGTGCCTACTCAAACGAACAAACCCGTTGTGCCCATAATAATTGAGGAAAGAGTTGCTCCACAAGTAACAATGGCTTTTCAGTCCTTAGACGAACACTTACAAACAGATGAATCACAAACTCCAAGTCGCCCTTATACGCCATCAACGAATACTAAACCAGTCCCAGTAATTCCTTTTTATCAAACGCCGGAAGCACTCTGCTTTGACGAGTGTCCAGCATCTCATGCTCGTACCTATAATCGACGCTCGGCTTCACCATTCCCGGATCGTGCACGATCTCCCGCTCCGGGCCCACCACCAAATCCATTAGCTGCTATCCGCTCAAACCAACCAAAACCTAAAGATAATGACTTGTCTTCCTTGTCTCCGCGTGTACTTCAAGCCGGATCAATTACTACGGGACAAAGTTATTTAGGAGCTCAGCAACAGCAACAGCAACAGCAACTACAAGTGTTATCACACCACGAGCAGGCGAGCAATATTGGAAGTCAAAGCTATACAGAAGAACCTGAAAGATTTGAAGAACGTGTCATTGGTGATTACACAGTGCAACGTAGAGAAAAGGCCGCCCACAAAGCCGACCAAAAGCTATCGAGTTCCGAAAGTCAAACGAAAATGCAGATTGGAGATACTCAGATTGAGAGAAGACGCAGAGTAACAGAAGAATATGAGCATACTCAAAGCGCCCGCACGGTGGAAATTTCAACTGGTTCAAAAACTACTAAAATTGCATCAACTAATTCAGAAAGCGACCGTCGTCAGTCGTATGGCAAAACAGGATATGTCGCTAATCAAGCTCGTCGCTTATCCGGCTTGGAGCAAGAAATTACCAATTTGACTAGTCAATCTCAAGCCATTAGCGCACGTGCAGCCACCCTAACAGAGACATCATTTCCCCAAATAAAATCGCCTGAGCCTTCATCGAAATTTCCAACTAAACCGTTGCTACCTTCTCACGATGAACCTCAGCGTCCAAGCTATTTATTTTCTGCGACCCCTTATAACAAAATGGTTGGGCCGCCACCAGGATTCAATGAGCAGGAAAGACGGCAACAACAACAACAACAACAACAGCAACAGCAATTATCGGCTACCAAGCAAGTGTCGACTGCATGTGGATCATCTGTGGTTTCGCAACAACAGAAATCATTAAGCACATATTCAAGCAGCAACTTCACAACCTCCACAAGCAAAACATCATCATTGTCATCGCAAGCTAATGCCGCTCACGTTGGCAGTCTAACAAAAGCTTATATTACTAATAACAATACAGCTGGAGCGGCAAGTGAGACGACCACCGGCGTCAGCGCCATTTGCCCTGTAACTGGCACTTTTTGTCGTCCGGGTCACACTTGCTGCAAACAGCAACAGTTGCAAGGGCAGTCAAATGCGACTGTCGTAGCTAATTTAAAAGAGAATAATAACTTAACGTATCGCGCGAACGCTTTCACAGGTGTAACGGATGCAAAGACTAATGCACAAGCTACAATTATCGCTACCGCTACTGCTACTGCTACCAATGCCGCTTCTGCGGTCAAAGCTACTGACATAACGACAACGCAAGCACCGCAAGCACCGCCCGCTGCTGCAGCTGCGCCTACATCATTTCCGCCACCCAATACCGTTGACGATATCAAGTCTAACCCTGATCTCGGTGGTTCCGCAGGTGTTGGCGGCAAGGGAGCATTTGGCGCCACCTCAGCTCCGAAGCGTGGACGTGGAATCTTTAACAAGGCAGTCGCACCCGGTGTTCGCGTACCTTTGTGCAGCAGCTGCAACATCCAAATCAGGTGAATGCCCCATTCGGTCACCATTGAGAGTTTGATGTTTTCTTTTTTTTCCAAGTTTTGCGTTCTGAATGTTGTAGTTGAAATACAATAATTTATAATAAGAAGAACATTTTGCATGGGTTTACAATAAATAAAAGTGTTTGTGCTTTGCGAATATAACTTTGTATTTATTCAAAAAATATTCTTTCAGCGCATATGAGACGTTGCATATTTATTTCTGAATCCTAGCCCCCCATCCGCTCTTTGAATTTTCCTTGATTACGATTAACACCGTTTTTTAAATTTTAAATAATCACTTAAGTTTTGATAAACGTTTGTGCTAAAAACGCTTCATTACTCTAACCTCAATGTAATCCTCGGCATGATGCCTTTGTGTTTCTGTTTTGTTCATTTCATAGAGCTTTGCACTAAACCCACTAATGCTAACGCCACACTACCACCCCAAGTACTGATAAGTTCGAACACCAATAAGAATCCCACGGACGCTCATCAAGCGAACGCTGACTTGTACACCGAGGGCAATGCTACTGCCATGCTGACAGAATCAATTGGTCATATAAATATGGGCGATAAGATGGACAATTTCATGACAGAGGCGAGTAAAATAATATCCAACATGTTGGAGGCACGTCTGGCCAACAATGGCGGCAGCACTTTGCAAATGTCATCTCATGGTGGGAGCACTTCGAGTTTACGGAGCAATTGCAGTTCCATACAATCGAGAAGTCCTATGCTTATGCGTAAACGTTTCGAGTTGGATGACTTCAAAAATGTTGACCCCACCGAACCTATGTCTTTGAAACCGGTTGTAGTCGTACAGCAAAATTTAAAGCCCGTATCTATGGCAGCCACACCTCGAACTGTCCAAAATGAAGCCGATAGCAAAGAGGTAATTAATTTGCCAACCAGTCATCCATTGGGCAAGTTGATTGAAGTTTGTGATAAAAAGCCACAGGAATGTATCTCTGCTCTCAGAACATGCGCAATTGAAAATGACAATACCGTTAAGACAATTCCTCAAGACGAAAACGCATTTGATAGCGCAGATCAGCCCCAAACTGTGGTGTACCGTGAAAAGTGCGGTAGTCAACGAAATCCTCGCTCGAGCCACAAAGGGGGAGAAATATCCACTCATGCGATGGACCGTCGATCCTATATTGAACCGAATGATCTCAATGTTAGTGATGGTGCCCGAGAAGGGCCCGCATTCAGTATTAATGTCCGAGCTCTCGGCCCGAAGCCAAGTATTGATGGGGAGCCGTCCAACACAATCCTTTCGCCTGAAAATGAACAAGTTGTAAGTCAGTTGCTAAAAGATGGTAAGCGTCCGATCTGCTGTCAATGCAACACGGAAATAACCAAGTGAGTAAATTTTAGTACATATGTAACAATATATACACGTGTATGGATCCCAAATCAGCGATTCGATGTTTATATTCTTAAATATTTAATACTTTTACATACACATATGCTAATGCGAGTATATAAAATGCATTTACATAATATATATAAATATATTTAACGAATTTTTTCGTCTGTTTTACGAATTAGGGGACCTTTCATTACCGCACTGGGACGTATATGGTGTCCAGAGCATTTCATTTGCGTAAACGCCAACTGTCGTCGTCCATTACAGGATATCGGTTTTGTGGAGGAGAAGGGTGATCTGTATTGCGAGTACTGTTTTGAGAAATACTTAGCTCCCTCATGTAGCAAGTGTGGAGGCAAGATAAAGGTACATTACACAATCCTTGTACAATACAAATGTGTATGTACATATGATATGTTTTCAGGGTGACTGTTTGAACGCCATTGGAAAGCAATTCCATCCGGAATGCTTCACTTGCGGCCATTGTGGCAAGCTCTTTGGCAACACTCCTTTCTTCCTGGAGGACGGTAATGCATACTGTGAAGCCGATTGGAATGAGCTTTTCACAACCAAATGCTTCGCTTGCGGATTCCCGGTTGAAGCTGGTGACAGATGGGTCGAAGCTCTGAATCACAATTATCACAGTCAATGCTTCAATTGCACCGTAAGTTTGCCTTTTATGTGTAAATGTGACATTCGATATTTCAACTAATAATTTCCTTTACTTCATTCAGTACTGCAAGCAGAATTTGGAAGGACAGAGTTTTTACAATAAAGGTGGACGCCCTTTCTGTAAGAACCATGCGCGTTAAAGCAGAATAGTGATTGCTTGTACATCAGGGATAATGGATATTTCAATATCATAATATCTACATACATATATACTCGTATAAAAAATAAATAGTTTAACATAAATAACCATTGAAACATTGTACTTATAAATTATTTTAAATACCATAAATAAAAGCTGACACCCTCGAAACAAACCGAAAATATCGAAATTTCGTGCCATCTCCTTCCCAGGTACATTGTAACAAAGTCTTGTCCCAGCTTCCATATTATTTAAGAAAAGTTTAACATTTTTGAAATTTTTTTTTTTGAAACTCATCAAACAACACAATTAAATGTCAATGTTTAATCATAAGTAATAAATTTATTTATGGGATGAAGGAGAAGCGCACAAAAAATAAATTGCTCATACCATGTTTTATATACATATACACTCGTATGTACTCGTACGTTCAAACATCAAACACTTATTTTAAACCAATCTTCAAATGATGTAACTTTTAGCCTAAACGCCTAGACACCTCGAGAATCATTATTAATTGTATTGTATTATGAAGTGAATATCTGAAATTGTAAACCCTTCTATCTGATTGTAATTTAATTTATACAGATACACCTATTGTACATATTTTATTTTCATGTGTTTTTTGAAGAAGGCTTAGAAAGATTTTAAGTCATCAGTATAAGCAAAATTGTGTTTGCAATCAATTATCTTAAGCTGCTGAACGAATAAACCGAAAGTCTTCCGAATTCAATGTTTTTTCATTCTATTCAAAAAATATGCTATCCTATATACAGATGTAAAAAACCCAAAATCATATATAATGAGCTAATTTTGTAATCAACAACAACACCTGTTTGTAGATCTCTCGGGGAATCCTCTTTCCAGGAAAGAATTCTTTTATATGGTAATCTCTGACAAATCAAATGCGGTGCCTGGTACTTTGCTGGAAAATAAAAGGTATAGAAATTTGACCATAGGTAAGTTTATTTTTGGTTTGTCTCGACATCTGACGAATCTAATTTGGTCAAATAAGACTTTTATAATCAAATTAATGCCAGAATAATCAGCAAGATTTAACAAAGTACTTAATGTACTGACGACAATATACAAAGAAAGAGTTCACTACAGTCCTTGAGATTTAAATGATGATCAAAAATGGTTCATATATTTAACGGTGTGTCCCAATCAACCAGTGCATGCATCGATTTTTTTATGTCATTTATAGAAATGTTCTTCAGTACCTCGGTTACGGCTGCTTAAATGGCTGGGATATCATCATAAAGTGCTCCATTCATCTTGTTTTTCAGTTCTGGAAATAAAAAATAGTCACATGGTGATAGATCAGGCGAATACGGAGGATGATCTATGGGAGAAATCCCTTTTTTCATCAAAAATTCGTTCACTTTTTGGCGATTTTTTGGTCGTCATTTAATTCATGTGTTCATCGCGCACAGACCTTTCTTTTCCCCAAATCTTCACTTAAAATTCTCCAAATAGTGTTTTATTCGTATTCAATTCCTCAGCCAACATTCTCGTAGTAAAATTTGCATCGATACCAATAATTTCACGGACTTTTTCCACCAGTTCAGCACGATTACTAGTTTCTGGACGTCTTGCTCTAGGGTTGTCATTTAAATCCTCACGACCATTTTTAAATCGTGTAAACCACATATAAACTTGCGTACGACTCATACAATCATCACAATAAACTTTTTTCATTAATTTTTTTTTTTCAAGTTTGACACAAAATTTTTTATTTGCTCTTTGTTCCATTTTATTTTTGAACCATTAGCACACTTTTGTTTTGGGCTGTCACTTTTACATCTGTCATCCGACTTACATGTTGTTAGGTGTATTTGAAAGAGGACGAATGTATCTTTTTAATGTTGCAAATAGATCAACAATAGATGGCGCTGTATGTTGTATGATTTAAATTTAAAGTTCGGTTATTTTTGGCAACTCGTTACTTAACATCATCCATAAGCTTTCTACTTTGGTTCAAAACTGCAGCGCAGATTATGCCTGATAAATATAATAAGATTTTTTCCACGTTTATTTCTCTAAAAACAACAATGTTCATGCTGATCTAAACCATAAGCTAGCTTAGAAGTAACTCAATTCAGTATGGAATTCGAAATTGCTTTTTTACGTTATTTATTTATTTGAATATATACATACGCACCTGTATAATTGGCGCTATATAACCACTACTGCTACCTTAAGAGATTGACCATGAGATTTGTTTATATTTATTTGTAAGCAGGCGTTGATGGGAAACTGTACTCTCTTCGTGGTCCTAGGTCCATTTTTACAATGAAAAGCTACACACACACATTTACACACACGATGGGTATAGTGAACCGGTCTAAGAAAGATATCGCATTCACCTTTACAAGAAATGGTTTTTTATCAGGTGTGGACACAATTATTTATACCCAAACTGAACAGGAGCATTCCCCGGCTTTTAGGGAAACTCTTATAAAAATTTAACCCTTTCCCATAACCCACATAAGCATCTACAGTGTATGCATTAAATTATTTATCAAAATTAATCCACAAAAAAATATCTTATCCCTATTCTTTAAATAGATGAAAATGAACTGAACTCAACTTGAGCTTTAGCATTCTTCCATTTGGATTGCATAAATAAAGGTCAAATTCTAAACATTACGTTTCTTACATTTATTAAATATTAAAGAAATATGTCGATCTCTTGTACATCGAAATTTAAGCAATATAAACTCACCCAAATGCCGCATATCATCTCCTCAGTCTAATTTTTTCTTCATATAAGTGGATATTCTTATAAGTCCAACCCTTACCTTCTCTTAGAGCTTCTAAAGTGTCTTTAAAATGTAATTTCAACATTGACTAAGATATTTTCCATCGAATCATTGTATATCTTGTGAAGTATGGTAATTACAATCAATTTATATACATACATATAAAGCAAATCTTTCTACCGAAACGTAAATAATGAAGAATAGGAATTTAAGAACATATAATATTCAATAACAACTTAAAGTACTTAGAAGTTTGAGTATCCTGGTAAAATGCCTTGGTCACGCAACAGAATATATTGCAAAACTTGTAATTATAATGTCGAACTTCCCACATCTCCACCCATAATTAGTCTTAAATAGGTCTTAAATAGTATTTTGTGTCTGCGTCCCAAGCTCTCAACAAGATTTTCACATTTTTCTATAGGTATGGAGTGCCTCGCCTCTTTGAAATTTCTAAGTTTTCTAAGTTTTTTTTTTAATATCGCTCTATAAATTTTCGATTGGGTTGACGTGTGAGATTTGCGCTGCTTTTCCGGCGACCTTCTCCGTCTTGTGTTTTTCCCACAAAGGGAGGATCTACAGTTTGTACTAAGCCACCTCCGAACGGCTGAGGAGCCTTTATTTCATGTCAGAAATACATTCGGAATGGTTGACATTCCCTGCCGAAGGGCGACCGCAATTAGAAAATTTAACGCAATTTTTTATTAAATTAATTGTCTATAACTTTTTGGATGTTATTATCACACCAGGACTTGAGTCGCGGCCGCAAATAGCAACTATGGAAAACAGCTGGTTTGTGATCATATCTCATTTTTGGACAACAAAACGGAGTTTATTTGAAATGAAAATAATATAAACATTATGAATGAATATATGAATCCCATTGATTAAGCTCCACTGGCACCACATTCTCATTTAACGAGTACTTGGACTATTTGCGAAATTGCAACTTTCTCTACAAACTTTTCAAACCAAACGTCGAAATAGCGCTCTTTCGTTACTAACTGCAACCGTGCTCTCCACCTGGCAGTCCGAATTTCAAACACATTTTCTCTATGCAGCGCTCTATAGTCTATAATTAAAAACTCGACTTTATAAGAATATATTTTAAGGGAATGGCACAATCCCCAACAAGGTAAATTAGAAAGAGTTGTGAACACTACAATTAATATTTCAACAGATCATCATCAAGCCCCGCTGCATGGAACTGTCACTTCTTTACGTGATAAGAGTTTCTTTTGCGTTTATATTTTAGATTATATTGTTTCACATAGGTATGTATTTAAAAAAGAAAGGCAGATGATTTTGTTACGGCTGTATGTCTAAGCGATAAATTTTATTTTATTGCACCGCACAGAGGGTAAAGCAGTACAGACAGGAAAGTCATCTGGAAGATCTTCAAAACAAAAGAAAGGAACAGTAGTGAAAATGATTTGAAACTCTGATGGTATGACAATTCGTGAAAGTTATACAACATTAGAATTTGAGCAGAGGATAAAGTATAAAGGTATGTTTTGTTAAAATCCATTCTTTATCAGAGTCTGAGTTCTCTGGCATTAGCAGTTGGACCTTTCTTTCACATGTTGGGAGTGATAAAGGTCAGCATGGGATTATTGTTGAGAAATTCAACGAAAGGGATATCTTTTATTTTAATGTTAAAACATAATAAAGTCGATTGTTTTCCAATAAAAAAAAAAACTCAGGAGAACCTTGATTAAAGGTCTCTTGATGCGGTTCTTATTACTACTTCAAAAAATAATACCAAAAGTTAATTAAAAACAAATTGTTATGTTGCGTTTATTTCTCCTCGTGTTTAAAATAATATACATACATAGCTAATTACAAGGAAATTCAATAACATTTTCATATTGTACTTGCGTATAATAAACATACAATTTTTCTTTATTCTTAGTAGTGGAACTATGCGTTCACTTTCTATACATATAAATTAATTTCGAGATTTTTTTTTTATTCAATAAAAGAGCAAATGGATTCTGTATTGTAATAACTGTAGTTTGAAAGTTTCTCTTAACTTTGATAGTTACTCATTTGTTGGTTTATTATGTCACTCATTTATTTTTCACATTTTACAATAAATAAGGAGGCATATTGGATGCTTTCGTTTCGCTATGAAAGTTCACATTTATATGAACCAAAATCGCTGAATTCTGCTTTGTGTCCTCTGTGTGTGTTTCGTATTGCAGCGAAAAGGAAGCCGAAAATCCACTTGCCAGAGTGAGGGGCGAAATGTTGACGATTGAGCAAAGAGCTCTAAAGGCGCAATAAATGTCCAAACATTTCGAGACGAAAACTCCGTTGTGTACACACATTCTTTATCGAATGAATCCAAACTTAACATTTTAATATAATTATCACTAACATCCGCACATCAATAAATATTTTGCGTTTGTAAATAAATAATTTTCAACCTAAACTAGAGATTAAGAGAGATTAACATTTTCTGCATGCCTACATATACACTTTTTGGAATTAACTTTATTATGTATGTAAGTGTATGTATGTCTACAATGAGTTCAGTTTGTACAAAAATTCTTACAAAACTTTACATGACATTGGAATTTAAAACAATTGAATACACCTTAACTTCACTATAAATCCACATTTGATGTTACCCAATGCGGTGTACGGACTTACAGGTGTGCCAATATTTCAATATGCTCACCACCGATGGGTAAATCTCTGTCGGATTGGGCATCATTCTTAGATATGGTAACAATCGTAACCAGTTCTCTATGAGCTGTAGAGCTTGTAGCCTTCGTTTCGTCTACTTTGTTCACTTCGAGGACATTTTTAATATTTGGTTGAACTACTCCACTACTTGTCGCCTCGATTTCCACAATCGCCGAGGTGTGCACCTGATGAAAACGTGATTTTTGGCGCTGTTGGAGGCCTTGTGACTTCTCTGCTGTACTTACCGTCGGCCGTTCTGGCGGAGAGACGTTTGTGGAGTCAGTTTGGCTATTCGGCGATTTTTGTGTAGTGCATTGTTCGGCGCTATCTTTGTCAGCCAGAAGACGGTCCGATGACGCAATATCAACACTGCGTCCACTGGATATCGTAGCTGGTGTGGTGATGCGTGATCTATAACTTGGCGGAAGGCTATATTCTGAAGCTATGCTTCCAGTCGCACCACCGTTCCTGCTCGTTGTCGTTAATGGTGCTCTGAAAGAAATTAATTTAAGGAATTAAAATTAATGCTTTTTTAATTTTCTTTTTTATACGTTTACAGTTTAAAGAAAAATAACGGTGTAAAGTTAATAAAACATAGTAAATGAGGTCCGTTGGAACACCTTGGTATCGAATGTGAGCAAATAATGTGAGTTTCTTTTTACTTGTATATCAATTTTGGCTGGATTTTCAAAAGCAGATGAAGCAAGTCTATCAAAATATATAAAGTTTTCTTCTTTACTAGCGAAGACATTGCTGAAAGCCGGGGTAATTTCTCTGAACTATGCCAATGATGCTGTAGAACTCGTACAACTCACAGATGTTGTCATTGTCCATGCCTCAGCACTTGTGAGAAGACGGAATGATGTGCGAGTTGTGGAGTTTGGTATTTCACTGGCATCGTTGTTGGTGCTAATGATGGATAGACGAAATGGCCGATGATTAGACTGTCTGACTGTCAACTTTGACGTGGGGGCCGAGTCGCGGATGCAATGACTCTTTATGATGACAGGAAACATTTCGTTTTGCCCTCGTTCGCTACCAGACCCATGCTCTTCGCTTCTTTATACAGTCTGAAGAAAGCAGACCTTACGATGTTGTTGTTGAAACATCGTTTGGTATCGAACGGATAGGAGAGATCCTTAACGATCGTAACGGAGCTTTTGGTGTTGCCTAACGCCAGTTTAAACAGCCATGAAAGTTTTGCGAGGATACCAAAACTCAGATATAGCGGCTCCTTTATTTGAATAAAAGGGGTGTTTTAAAATCGACGAAAACACAACACGCTCAAGAGGACTTTATATGCGATACTGGGGAAGCTTATCCCGTCATATTGAATCTCCCTGTTTGTGGGTAAAGCAATCTTAGGTTCCAATCGTCGGTCATACTTTGGCCTCAGCCGCTTTGTTGTTTTTCAAGCGGGCAATTGCTATTTGAATTTCTTCATTGCCATCGATTATAATTTTCGAACATTCGAACATTACTCCTGTCGGCCATTTCCTCAAGCTCATCATATCCACACATTTCGGCCTTCCTTTTTTGTCTGTACATGCGTCTTGCTTCCCTCTTCAATATCGTATCTAACCCACTGGCACGTTTACTGGTCGAAGGCAACGTTCATGATTTTAAATTCTTTTCAGGGACGAGACAAGTTCATTCTACATATTTATTGCTAGATCCTTCTTAGAGGCAGCTTCTACTACCATTCCCCCAAAAATTCTACAGGATTTAGACATTAATTGGGTGTAAATATTATTTCGGTCTGAATTTTTTGTAATTATAATAATTTTTTTTCGTTACGTGCCACGTGTAGCTGAGTGTTGCCATGTTGCAAAACCACCTTGCCATGTCTTTCAGTCTTTGATAATGGTTTCGACTAAAATCATTACTTTTGCAGCGTCAAAATCACTCTTTAGACAACTGATTAATCGGTGCAGATGCACCACAAACTCATACTTGCTTTCCTTCCTATTAATATAAAAAACCAAAACTTTTCGCAAATGCTCTTATTCAACATAAATCGGGACATTTTCAAAGAAGAAAAAGCAATGTTGTTCTTAAACGTGAAAGCAATCTTAGGTTCCAACTGTCGGTCATCCTTTGGCCGCAGCCGCTTTGTTGTTCTTCAAGCGGACAATTTTTTGTTCTTAAACGTGAAACATTCCAAGTTTGGCCACACCTTGTAAGTGAAGCCATCTTTTGAGAACGGACCGAATTAATTTACATTCCCAATAACTTAATCAGCTCTCCAGGCCATGCGAAAAATAATGTCTTAAGAGAGATGTTTTGCAATGGTTTATTCCCTTCAAAAAAAAAAAAGTCGTATTGTGTGATGTATTGAAACTTATGCAAAAGTCATATATTTTGCTATAAAATTATAGGAAATAAAAACCATCGTCTGCAGCTATTTACATTGTTTATACCGAACTCATCGTAATAGTAATATAAGCAGCAATAAAACTATGCCAATGCAAAAACACAATATCTCTAATATTTGAATTTGTATGGATTATAGAACTAATGGAGCGTGTACTACAATGCAAAGATTCCACCTACACTTTTCAAGTTTCTTACTTTCTCGGCAATAGCTTTTTTATGCACAGTCAGTCCTCTTTCATTTCAGTTTTCCTAAGAGAACTTTATGTTATTTTACTATTAAATTTAAAAGCGAGTGGCGGTGTAGCCGAATGATTGGGCAAGCTTAGGAGTAGGGGAAAGGGTAGCTCATAAAGCGATTTTTAAAAGTACATATTCATGTAGCACAATGTTTTTCATTACCTTCAAAACATAAGTATATACAATAGTCGGGTGAGTGTATATATACAAACATACACTAATACATATATACGTATATAAAATAGAAACTTTTGTAGGCAAATGGAGGACATCCTTTACATGACAATTTTACGCACAAACTTTACAAGTTAATGCAATAAAAGCAAACTTTTCTAATTAGAAGCCATTATGCGATCAAAGCGGCAATTATCTTTTTGAAGGATTATCTCGGTTTTGGTTTGACAATGAGAATTAATTTCAGACTGCGCCACCGGGCAATAAAAGAAAGGCTTACTTGCGCAGTTACTGCTACTGACTTTCAACCCCGTTTCAAATTTGAATTTAAATAAGACCATACAAAATTAAGAATTGTTTGGTTCCGTACATACTTACGCATTTGCGTTTGAACGAGTATGAAGTTTGTGCACGTGTATGTAATTCCCCTCCAGTCAAATATACCAGTAACAATCACGACTCTACTCACGCAGTCACTATTTTGTCCCATAAAAACAACTGATCCTTTTGAGAAAATATTTCTAGCTTAATTTTAAATGAATCTTTATACTATATACTACATTTAAATAGTTTAATCTCCTTTTCTAAACTGGTCCAGTTGAGACAATGTGATATTAGGTTCATGTCTCTACCTCTAGATGAAAAATAAATGAAAATAAAAAAGCCAATAAAGGTTTTTTGTACATGCTAAAATTTAAAAAAAAAGTGTTCATAACGTGTGAAGGAGCAACTAAGTGAATGCTTAAATCTTAATCTTAATCTTGACATTGTATGATTCGACTCCATCTAGATAGGTTTGGATAAAATATTGATCGCTTATTACTTCCCCTAATCTCAATGCCTTTGAAGGTAAGTAAATATATTGATTCTGGAAATATTATTCTAAAACTTTGGATAAAGTTGGCCAGACAAAACTTAATACGGATCTAAGCAGCCAAAGCTAAGGACTTAAAACCAAAGCTCAGATCTCCAAATGTAACCGTTAATAGAAAGATATAGTGGATTTATTTATTATTGTTATTATATATTGCTGGTTTTTAAATAAAGAATACATAGCGGACTCCCTCAAAAACACCGTGGCAAATTGTGGTTGATTGAATACGTGATATACGTATTCGTGTACAGAGGAAAAGGTTCCACCCCCTCAATAAATTTATTAATATTTATTTCATTATTAGTGTTCATTTGATCTTAATTACTTTTGTGTATATTAAAAAATTATTATTAGCCATTGATAAATGAAGATTATGAAGTTTTAGTTATAGTCTTGCGGATTGTCTTGTATTATATATTTACCTAAGCAAACTGCCGGTATAGGATCGATATGTGGGAGGGGGAGAGTTTCCACGTACAACTCCATTTTGTCTATCTCGGTCCAATAGCAAAAGTCTGAAAAATTAGAAAACAAAATATGAAGTCATAAAAAAAAAAAAAAAATTAAATATAGTGTGTATATATGGCAGGTTGAAACATATCAGTGTCGAATACATTGTAAGTGGTTCCGGGTTTCATTATCACTAACCTCAATCTGTATTCCTGCATACTGGCCTGGTAGGAAGGTGGTGGTGGCCGATGTTGGAATTCAGGATAAAGTAAGCCATGTGCGTTGCCACCTCCTCGTCCACATGGTCGTCGCCCACAACGCCCTAAGTCGACTGCTGATCCTAAGCCCAAGCATGGTGGTCCACCAGGCGCTGTCATCCTCCAAGCTGCTCCACTCACAGTCACTAGGACAACACCAACACCTAAAAATTTAAAAAACATAAATTGTGCAATTTGAAATGAAGATAAATTATTGTTTTATCGGTATCTAAAATTCAATGTTCTTATTGTATCTTACAGGTATTTAATTGTAATCGTATGAAAAATATTTTTCAACACCAGTTTGCAGGCCATGGGAGAAGTGTTCACTACATACCGCAAGGATCGTTCTTATTATGGTAATGTTTTTGAAGGGTATGGTATAAAGCAATCGTTCCAAATATCTAAAGGGGTTTGTCCAAGTCTTCCTACCAGTTCCTAAAAACAGCTTCTTCAGACTTCTTCGTTGTTTTCTCATTATGGTGATTATTTCCCAAAAAATTATCAATCGTTTTTTAAATTTCTTTTGAGCTATATTTACGACTATTTAAGTCAGTACTGTACAATATATATACAGGGGTTTCCAATAAGGTTTAATACTTTGGTATTATGTTTAAAGACAAATGGCATTTTTTTTTTGAAATAAATTATCGAATGTTTAATTCATTTTAAAAAGGTAGATATGCGATATACATATATTAATGGTAAAATGGCCGCCTTGGCTACGCTAACAGAAACGCAACTTTGAAAATTATGAAATTTGCCATCACTGAATCACAATAACTTCACGAATTCCATCTTTAAGGTCTTGTATCGACGTTAGCCTGTTCGAGTAGACTTTATCTTTCACGTGGGCCCAAAGGAAGAAGTCGCAAGGTGTCAAGTCCCAATATCTCTGGGGAAAATTGCTATCACCTCTACGGGACATAACGGACAAAATTTGCATTCAAAGACCGATGGTTTCGTAGCTTGTGTGGCACGTAGCACCGACTTGTTAAAAGTAAACGTTGTCCGGGTCAGCACCATCCGTTCAGTTCCGGCCAAAAAAAAATTATTAATCCCCTCTCGACAGCGCAATTCATTCACCGTAACTGTTGCTCCCGCCTCATTTAAGAGAAAGTAAGGCTCAATTTCTTCCACCAATTTACATTTTGCGGTCCGACAAGGTGCTCCGCAACGACTAAAAAATATTTTAGTTTTTCAAACCGTCTCTGCCAGTTTTCACCATTTACATTACTGAAGTAGTTTTTGCTTGTCAAATGTCAAAAAGTTACAGCTTCGAAAGTGACATCTACCGGAATAGCAGCTTCAAAATAACGCCTCTTATTAGAAAAACTTTTATATACCCGTTAGTTTGTTACTATTGGAACATAAAAAAAAATCATCAATACGTTTCGTGAAACCAATTCTACGCCATAAATAATAAAATACGTATATATGTAAGAGTATGGAATAAATGTCTCAAAAAATATTATTTCAGTGTTTTGATCGAAAAACAATAAAAAAAAATAATGATTTCCTTCCACTAACCGCTAAATACAAATTATTGAATATTGAAACATACATATGTTACATGCGCATATATTATATATTATGAGCACTGTAAACATCCCATTTTTATGTTATTATTATATTATTGTATATACGTTCGAACATACACCAGAGGTCTAGCCAATTAGGGCATTATAGTTATTGAAAAAATTACTATTAAGGCCCTCAAATACAGTCAAGATATTGTTTGTTTGGAATTTTTCCATTGAAGTCATCTTATATAGCACCTGTTTTATTTTTATGCACTTAATGCCACTACCTTGTGACGATTATTTATTTCACTTTTTTCACGGCAGATAATGTAGTATATATGCAACGACAAAAGAAAACACAAACATTAACAATTAAGTTACGTGATTGCGTCATTTGTAACAAGCAATTATTGTATACTTGAGACATTTTCATGAATGGTCAGTTGAATTACACGGCGAAATGACGGGCGGACAATACAATTGGCAAGGTTCGAGTATTTGACGGTAACATAAAACACGTCAGTAAATCGTGAGTTGGCTTGTTACGTCGTTTTAATTCGCTGGCTAGAGGTGAAGATGAGACGGATGTTTCTATGGTCGACTTACAACAAAGACATATATATACATACATATGTACGTAAATAAACGAAAAATAAAATCAAAACTGTCAAAGGCATTATTACATTTGTAATTGTCACACCGATTACCTGTAAAGTAGTATGCTCAAATACCATGTATGTATGTAGCTATGTATAATGTTATGTAATATAACATTGCCATATCGATATGATCCGCCGAGAATCTCGCATTCGACGATTAAAATAATTAACGCTTTTTCCACTTATCAAATATTATTTTAAGTTTTCTTTAAAATCAATATAAAATTCGTTCATTCGCGTCTACAGAAGTAATGACAGAGAATAGAAATTTCTTTCATTTTCTACACTCTTTGGGACGGGTTTTGAAAGTTGTCCTTTAAGAGTAACCAAATATAAATAAGATCATTTTTTCCCAAATTTATCATTCAAATGGCAATTTTTGGTTTCATACTCATAATTTTACAATTAAAATGCGGAACACTTAAAATCAAAACAACGAAAATTTCACATTAACATTGATACTAAAATATAAGAAATAAATATTTACTCTACTCTAGCATATGTTCGATGCAAAATAATGACTGGTTTACCAATTTTCAGAAAAAATGGCCAGGACTGCAGCATCAGTGTGTTCAACATTTTATTTCATTACACCGTTAATGTGTTTTAATATTGAGATAATGTGACATAAACAAATCCGTTTACTCACCAATCATTAGAAGAGCGGCTGTAAGATGAGAGGTGGGGGGTCCTGCAAGTCCGGTTGCTCCTAACGCTGCACCGCCTAAAGCGCAGGCAATCCCACCCAGGGCAACCACAGCAATCAACGCCCGCAACGGTGGCCCCGCAAACCATTGACCGCAGCAGCCTTTTCCAGAACGTTCGGAGGGAGATCTAGACGCAATTAAAAAGAAAGACAAAAGTTTAAAATGTGTGAATGATATAATAGACTTATGAATTTAGCAATGCAAATTTCTTAATTAAATTCCTCAACGGACTTTATGACTCAAACATTTTAATCGAATGTTATAATCTAATTGCATATGTAACTATATTAAAATAAATAACAACAATTTCCTCGAAGAGCACGGGTGATGCTGAAGTTACGATAACCAGATAGTAAAAATAAAACAAAGAGAAAGAGAATTTGCTTAGATTCAACAGAACTGAAAGGCTAATTGAAGCTAAGGCGTTTTGTAATTTAGATTTAAGATTTTCTCGCTTCCTCTTCATTAAGGAGAAGCATATTCGGTGAATAAATACAGGGAGAATGCATTTTTTCAAATCAAATTAAACACTACCGAAACATAAGTAAATAAATATTCGTACATTTATTTATAGTTGTACTTATATATAGGGTTAACCATTTTGTGGTTTCAAAAGTACAGAGCTGTATTTCAACATCTGTCAATTTTAACGGTCAAACTAAACATGTTTTGTTTTAGTTAAAAATCAGGCATTTATGAAAATGGATCGAAGTAAATTTGTTTAAAGCTTTAACAGTGGTGGCCATGTTTCCCGAATTTTCGAAAAAGGGGAATTTTTCACTCTCGGAATAAGTGTACGAGAATATGTAAAATTGTCACATTTGGGTATCCGAGAATCCTGAAATAATCGAAGAGAGAATTTCACGCCGAAACAAGTTTACTGTCTGATGCATTCTTTGGTCCGGAGGTGAGATTGAACCTTACTCATACCACACAGTTCGCACATGGCTTTCTTGCGAAAGAACCTTCCCGCCCACAATGATGTCGGAAGTAGTGTTTCACATATGTATAGTGCCAATTTTCAAACTCTAAATAGAAAAGAAATTTCATGAAATTAATTATTTTAAATGCATTTTAATATCGATTATTTTCGAGACTGCAAAATGGATAGCCCTGTACTATACATTAGTACACTACTTGGATTCCATAAAAACATATACATATAAATATACATATACATGTATGTATTTTGTAATTATAAACTAAAAATAAATGCAATTAAGCACCTTCATTTTGACGGAGCGCCAACGAAACTAGTCAACTTTGGTTAGGCGAATGTTGTACGAACGGCGCCCTTGAACTACTAAGCAGTCACAGCGCGTTAACGCATTTTCACGTACAGTGTACGAGTATTGTATGTGCATTCATGAAAATACATACGTACGCACAATGCGATTAGAAGGCAGATACTCGAGTTGAGCAATGAAAACACGCATACACACATATCATTGCACAACATATGTATTTATTAATCAGAAAATCAATTCTTTGGCACAAATCTGTTCTTGGCACATCGAATGTGATGGCTTTAGGTCCAGCGGTACATTAAAAATACTTTAATTACGACTTCACCCTTAAAGTAATTACTTTTGTGCAATAACCCATGTTAATACATAATATATTATATAATTTATGTGTATGTATAGGCATTGCACATTGTAGTCAATTTCTTGTCGTGCACCTTGACTCGAAGCTCTTTATTGTCGTGCCCAATTACAATATTTAAAACAAATCGTGAATTTGCTTACATAAATACATACATATGTCCATGTGTAGATACATACATATATAGATATCGATACACGTATGCAAAGAAGTAAGAAAATTCATTATTATGCTAAATTTCCAAGTAAATACAAATTGGAAAACATAATATTAAATACGTATGTGTTTGTATGTTTGTATATAACACATAAAATCATAATTTATTAGGTTAAAGTTAAATCTTTTCAATATAACATTTGGTGGGGTACGCATTGATTCGGTCCGCTCTAAAAAGATGGCCCCTTCTGGAACCAATAATCCATTTCATTGGAAAGTTTCACATCTGTCAGCACTAATTAGTGTGCATGGATTTGTGTTAAACAAATAACGATTGCGGGAAATTTTGATTATTTATTTTAATAGGACGGAAAGTGCAGCTGAAGCTAATCCAATGCTTGTGTTTATGGTGCATCTGCCGACGGAGTCATGCAGAGAGTGGTTTCGATGCTTCAGAAGGGTTGATTTTTCCGTCGATGATTAGACCGAGTACAGAGAGGAGTCATTTTTAAAAGATTGTACACCCAAATTGCCAGAGAGATGTGAAAAGAAGTCATTTCCAATGGACCTAAAGTACGTAGATAAATTCAATAATGTCAATCAATTTAAAAGGGTTTGATTATTCGAAATAAATACTTTTTCACATTCAAAAATACTAATTGATGATGGCCTTGTAGAGCAGGGTTTTAGGTCGTCGAGAGAGGACTTTACTTTTCAATTGCCTGATCGGCGTGTAGCAACTATTGGCAAGAGTGATTCTGCGTTAGATTTCAAGGCTGACACTGTTATTAGGATCATCGTCCGTAGATAGAAGAAATTAGTTCCAACTTAAAAGCAATAACTGTCAACGGATGATTTTTCGTCTTGTCTTTTCTCTCCACCAGATCGTTCCCTTCACTTCCTCATAAAGTTTAGAGTATGCAGATTTAAGGCGCGATTGTTAATATTGAACATAGTCAATTTAGCGTTGCCAATTCTTTCATTGGAGCTGGTTTCTACGTGGCGGGTCCCGAAAACCCAGCGCACCACCTCGCTAGGCGAGTACTCTTGTAGGACAAAAAGAGGTATTCTAGCCACGATTGCCCCGAGTATATTGAATTTATGGAGGGAACATTTCTCCAGCCTGAGCTTCTCTATGGTGAACCCGAAACCCCAATCAATAATGATGGAAAAGACGTTCCATTACCTGACCATGAAGAAGTTCGAATAGCAATCACCCTCTTAAAAACACCAAAACCGCGGGAGCTTACGGCCTACCAGCAGAACTATTAAATTATGGCGTTGAAGAGCTGACAAGGTGCATGCATCAGCTACTTAGCAGAATATGGTCGGACGAAAGCACGCCCAACGATTGGAATTTAAGAGTGCTCTGCCCGATCCATAAGAAAGAGATCTCACACGAATTATCGTGGGATAGCCCTCCTTAATATCGCATATAATGATCTATCAAGTGTACTGTTTAAGGGACCAAAGGCAACTGGCAGCAAACTGATTGGACCGAATCAGTGTGGCTTTAGACTGGTAAATATACCTTTGGCTATATATTTACCATGCGCTAAATCTTGGAAAAGATACTTGAAAACAGGAATAGGAGCTGCCTCAAAGCCGCTATGTCTGAATTTCGCATCCCCGCAAAAGTTATACGGCTATGTAAGCTGACTTTGAGCAACACCAAAAGCGCCGTCAGGATCGAGAACCAAACGAGGTTTCAGACAAGGCGACTCCTCATCGTGTGACTTCTTTAATTTGATGCTGGAGAAAATAATACGAGCTGCAGAGCTGAATAGAGAAGGTACAATCTTTTATTAGAGTGTAGAGCTGCATGCGTATGCCGATGATATTGACATTATTGGCCTAAACAACAGCGCCGTTAGTTCTGCTTTCTCCAGACTTGATAAAGATGCGAAGTAAATGGGTCTGGTAGTGATCGAGGACAAGATGAAATGCCTCCTGTCATCAAACAAACAGCCATCGGATTCGCGACTTGGCTTCCGCGTCACTGTTGACAGTCATAACTTTGAAGTCGTAGATAATTTCGCCTATCTATGAACCAGCATCAGCAGCAATAATAACGTCAGCCTTGAAATCCAGCCAGTAAGTAACTAAGTCAATATAGCTCTGCCACTCTTATTACTTTCTCCAGCATTATGTTGAAGAAATCACACGGCTTCACTATACTCAGTTGTTGTCGATCAGCAGGCTGGCGACTATAGAGACTATATTTGTAGCACAACTTCTGAAACTGTACAAACTCGCGCATTTCGGTCTCTTTTATTTCTGCCTTCAAATGCATTACGCAACCCTCTGTAACTATCGGTACGTATCCCGAACCCTCCTGTTTACTCCCATAGCGACACGGCAATACAACCCGCTCCAGCTCTTCTTTTGACATTTCCTAAGAACCAAATATTTCAACAGCGATGGTAGGGAGCTTGAATGTCGCTCAGCCTCGATCACGTATATATTGCCGCCGTAGTAAACTTCACAAGCGCCCACTTTCATTTTGCGTGCCCTCGAACCATGATTCATAAAACTTTTGCAGGGGTCGTCATCAAATGGAGAGTCTCTCATCCAACGCAAATTATTCTATTTTTTCATCCAGGTAGGCATTTTATGTGGCGGGTCCAAAACTCTACTACCCTACAACCATGGATGGCTCGCCTTTGCACTTTAGCTCCTCTCGAAATGGAGGATACTGGTCTAGGACCAAAAAACTGTTTTCACATGCGTGAACTTTTACACATGGTAAAATTCACCATTTGTCATTACTGGCCAATAAATAGAAAAAATACACGGTCTTTTTCTAAATAACATTCATATAATTAGGGCAACTAAGTAATTTTTTGACGATCAACCATCGCAATTTGGTTCTAAAAGACCATAAATCGATAAGGGGTTAGCATTCCATTCGGAAGTCCTGGGTTCAAATCCCAAGGATATAGAAAATTATTTTAAATCCAAAATAAAATTGAATTTTCTAATTGCGATCGCCCCTCGACAGGGAATATCAACCTCTCCGAATGTATTTATGACAGGAAACAAAAACTCCTCATAAAAACCATCAGACGTTCGAGGGGTTCTTATTATAAACTATTTATTGGGAAAAACATCAAGACGCTAAATCCCAAATAGGAGGAGATGCTCGGCCAAAAATCGGTTCAGCGGTAACAAAGCTCCAAATACAATATATGTTAAATAGTGTGTGGACCCTAGAAATGTCTCGAGATTATCATGTCAGGAAATATTAGTACCTGTTCTTAGATCATTATCTTTTACCTATTTTGCTGAAGAAAATAATACAAAAAATTAGGAAAAATATGTCTTGAAACCATTTGATAAAAGATAACATTTTCCAACCCTCGCAAT